TTTCTTTCTTTCTTTCTTTCTTTCTTTCTTTCTTTCTTTCTTTCTTTCTTTCTTTCTTTCTTTTCTTTTCTTTTCTTTTCTTTTCTTTTTTTTGAGACAGATTTCTCTGTGTAGCCTTGGGTGTCCTGGATTTGCTCTGCAGACCAGGCTGGCCTTGAACTCACAGAAATCCACCAGACTCTGCATCCCATGGTGCTGGGATCACAGGCGCATGCCACCATACCTGGCTGGATACTCTTTAAATTCCTCAAGCTGTATGTTATTAGGTTGTACATTTGAATTTTTAACTTCTTGTGACTTCCTTATTGAGCCATTGGTTCTAGAGTTTTAAATTTATTGTGTTTTGTATTTTCTAGTTTAGCCAGTGTGATTAGAAAATATTTAAGCCTCAAGATTTGTCAAGGCTTGCTTTGCCTCCTCATTTGTTACTGAGATAACAGTTCATCTCTACTGTTAAGCCTTCTTGTTCCTCATCTTCTGTCTAGTGTTAAGTGGAATAAGTCCTCTACTACTTACTGTTAAGCTATTTCTCCTTTTTCTCTTTTTGTTTACTTCACATTTTGGTTCCTAATGTATGGCACAGGTATTTTGGCTTTCCTTGGTAACAGCCCCATTTACCATAACGTTCTTTCTTGCATTTTTTTAAAACTGGTTTTGTCTGATATTAGGGTAGCCACTTAGTTACTACTCATGGAATACCTTTTCCTTTTTTCACTTTCTAAGAGCTTAAATATAATTTGGTTGGAGATTTATGTACTTAGAAGTCAGTTGTTACTATAGAAAGATATTATTTACCTTTTTTCCTTCTTGGTATGTTTCCTTTTTTTTTTTTTTTTTAAACCCTTCTATGTTTTTTTTAAATTGATAATTAGGAAGGTCTCTTGCTTGTATGCATGCATATGCCTATGAGGAACAGAAGTTTCAGTTGTTTATTTTCTTTTATATAAATTAGTATTTTCTTTGTTGGTTCTGTTATATGAAACAGAACAGCTGTACCAATCTGCTGTAAACTTAAATATAAATTACATCACAAAAATACTACCTTATACTGCCTCCCCTTTGTTACTGATGCCATAAATGACTTGTTTTTATTTATTGGTATAGTCATTAGCAGATTTATAGTTTCTCAATGTTTTTGTTTTTAATATGTCTTTGTGTATTGAAGTTAATGTCTAGGGTCCTTTTCATTTCAGTTTAAAGAACTCTTGTGTTTGCTTAGTGAGAAATGTCTCACTTCTTTTTGAAGGACAGTTTTGGCAGATATAGTATTCTAATTTTACTGGGGTTTTTCTCACTTTGTAGCCCAATCTGGCTTTGAACTCACCGTGCTGGAATTACACAATGTATATACAGCTGACAGAACCTTAAATATAGCTTCGAGCAGTCTGGCTTTGAAGAGTTTCTGTGGAAAAGGCTGTTGTGGGTCCCCATACATGATGAGTTACTTTGATATATTTATTTTCACTTTCAAGATTCTCTATTTGCCTTTGGTTTTGACAGCTTGAAGACTGTGTTGGCTTACAGGTATAGTCTCTAGGCTTATTCTAGTTGCAATTTATTTCTTCTTTAAGTTCTTCGTCCCTTTCTCTCTTTCGTGATTCCATAATGTATATGTGGCCCCACTTGATATTTTATAAGCTATACTGTTCTTTTTGTGTTCTACTTTTGACTTGGTAATTTGAAATGACCTGTCTTGAGATTTGCTGGTTGTATCTTTGGGCCAGCTGGAGTATGCTTTTGAAACTTTACTGATACCCCCACCAGTTCAGTCAGTGTATTCTTATTTTCATTTTCTTCTTATATTTTTTTTCTGAGTTTTTTTTATTTGACTCTCCATATATTTTTGCTCACTGAATATATTTAAGAAAGTTACTTTTAAACCAAAGAAAACCAAAGGTCAGATTTTCTTCTTTCTTTCCTTTTGTGTCTTGTTCATGGAGATCAATTTTGGTGTTTGTAAGGGGCTCTGCTTCTCTGTTAATTTGCCTTGTGATCTTTTTGTTGAAATTTTGGTATTTGGAAAAAAAATCTCTCCCACTATTTGTAGGCAGGCTTGTGAAGGGAGACCTCTATTCATTAGCATTGTGGCCTACAGGCTCAGGCTCCTCCTTGTCTGCAAACTTGTCTGGGCTTTGCTTCCAGTTTACCAGTATATATAGCTACTTGGAAATTTTCCTTAACTTTTGAGTTTTATTCCTGTTTATGCTTGGAGCCTTAGCTGTTCTAGTATCTTGCTCTGCTCGAAATCTCTGAGCCATGGGTGCCTAGAGGTGTATAATCCTCCTGCATGACACCATTGCTTTGTTTACAGTACTAAAGCACTGTTGCTATCAGTCAGGCAGGCAAGACCAAACCAGATCCTTGGACAGTCTTCAGACAAGTATGGTATTTCCAGTAGCTACCACTCTTGACTGGCCACATAGAGAGAGGAACCAACAACTGGGCCATCCCCTGTACACTGCACTGTGCAGTGGAGGTACTGAGGCAAATACGAACTAAAATGTTGCTGTTGGGTGGGGTTTTCTGTTGCTTAGGTGTTCCTGTAGCTTACCCAGGGGCTCTGCTCTCAGTTATTTTGGTTCCTGTATTGTTTATTCGGTTTTGTGGTATGCTATCTTGCTGACATACACATGTTCAGAATTATTTGGAATTATCAATTGCTAGGTTGACATTTGAGAACATTACTCTGATAAAGACATCTGTTACAGGTATCTATGAATGCTTTACTGGCTTTTCTTGTTTGTCTGTCGGAAGGGTTGTTGTCAGTACCACTGTTCACACTTTGGAGTTGTATGTTTGTGTTTAATTGCATTCATTCAGGCTTAACATGGGCAAAAGACTATTTCAATAAAAATTCTCTACTTCAGTGTTCTGTAAAATAAGTTTGTGATGTGGATAATATATAGTGCTCTTTAATGAGTCTATCAACTGTGTACCTTTTCCAAGATCTGAGGTGGGGAAAAGGCCTAGGACACTTTTTCTTTTTTAGACACTGTCAAGGGAATTAACTTTGCCTAATAGAAGACTTGATTCTTATTTTATTTTTATTTCTAGTTATTATCCAAAGTGAAGATAGGTGCTGTTTTAATCAATGTTCTATTGCAGTGAAGAGACACCATGACCACAGCAACTCGTAAAAGAAAAGCATTTAATTGGGGCTTGCTTACAGTTTTAGGAGCTTTATTGGTCCATTGTCATCAGAGCAGCATGCAGGCAGACATGATGCTGGAGAAGTAGCTGACTGCCGGACTGGCAGGCACAAGGAAGAAAAGAGTGCCACTAGGCACTTGGCTTGGGCTTCTGAGCCCCCAAAGCCTTCTTTCCAGTGACACTTCCTCCAAGAAGGCCACACCTAATGCCTCTCAAGTAGTGCTATTCCGTAATGAATGAGCCTTTGGGGGTCATTCTTAATGCATGCACCTGTGGTTGTTTGAATAAGTATCCAGAGTATTGCTGCTGATTTATCATAATAATAATAATAACAACAACAACAACAACCCCCCCCCAACAATTGGTTGAAAAATTAGTAAGAATTATTCATATCATACCATGGACCAGTAAGCTATTTTAGCAATGAGAGCAAGAGACATAAAAACATTATTGAAAATTAATAAGGTAGAGAGCAACACGCAGATGCCAGAGGAACCAGAATGCTGCTAAGACAAAAGCAAGAAATAAGAGTAAGTTATGGTCTGCCCAGAATGGAAGCTAGCTGCAGAACTTGGTGGAGTTGAGTGATCAGCAGTGGGAATAGATAATAGATAGACTTCATGGATGGCATTAATAGAGACCGTTCATTATTAACAGAGCCATTGTGTTTCTCTCCATAGAATTCTTTGGATTGCGCTCCGTAGAAGTTCCTCCCCGACTTGGGTTCCTGAACTATGAAACTTGACTATATGGGCTACGGAGTAGTTTCTCTCAATAAATAATTATATGGACAATAAGTCTTTGCTTGGTTATTATTATTAATTGAGGGCCTCAAAAAACTGACATCTATCATTCTTATGACTCTAGGTGAATATTATAAAGGCAACTCCTTCCTCAGCTTTGGTCTCCTGGAGTACATAACAAATAGCTGTACTCCTGGTTTTGGTGTTCCATTCCTATCAGTAAAATCTGTCTTTGCAGGAGGCAGAGGTAGGTTGGTCTCTGTGAACCCTGAGTTGGAGGCATACTGAGTTCTAGTCAGCCTGGAACACACGGTGAGATGCCAACTCTTTAAAGAAAATCTGTCCTTCCACTCTTTGGTAGTATTGCTGTCACCACAAAGAATAGGTAATTGACATGCTGTTAGAATAATTGCTTTTATTAATGAGCAAACAATATGTATGAGGAATGGGAATATGTGTCTAATCCAGAAAAAACAAAACAAAACCAAACATTTAACTAGTACTGAGTAATGTCTTATAGTCACTTTTATTTTATGCAAACCCAGTGTTTTCTTTTTTTCTTTTGGTGTTACAGACATTGAACCCAGGGCCTTGTGCATCCTGGGTAAGAGCTTTATTACTGTGATGTATCCAGTATATAAAATTAAAAAGCAAATTTGATCTGCAGTTATTCTTAGTCTGTTTAACTTGTATAAGACTCCGTGAGTTTAGCTATATTAAAATAAGAAACCAGAAAATAAAAAAAGCTGTGCTTAGTGGCACACGCCTTTAATCCTAGCACTTGCGGGAGGGAGAGGCAGGTGGATCTCTGAGTTCAAAGCCAGCCTGGTTTACAGAATAAGTTCCAGGACAGCTAGGGCTGTTAACACAGAGAAACTGTTTTCTGTCTTGGAAAACAATACAAAACAAACAAACAAACAAACAAAAGTTATCAGTGAAAACCTGCAAAGTAAACACTCAAAACACATGGTCAGTAAGTAATTCAAGAATATCTTTTTTATTATTTATATCATAATCCCTAGCAAGATGTAAAATTACCATACGCCATACAAGAATCAGTACATATTTACATTCTTAATAATTATTCTTGAGGTTGACAAAAATGTTACTTTCCTAAATGAGTAATAAGACTAATTACAGAGATGGTTTTCATATTTGGCTTTAGTTTTCCACGAATGACTTGTTCTTCAGTAATAGTGCTGTAGTAGAGATGTGTGATCTCAACAGAGTTGAAGGTCAGTGGCCTTTGAAATGGCACTGTCTTATTTACTGTCACCCTTCAGTTAAAGGCAACAAGTTATAGGTCTATGCATGAATGATTTGCCTGTGAGACCATAACATAGCGGGTGATTACAGATCTTGCCTTTTCTAGATGTTAGTTAATACTTAGCAGATATTAGGAATTATCTCCATGCTTTATCAAGTAAATTCAGCAGAGAAAACTATCTGGACTGATGTCGTTGTTGGCATTCTTAACTCACCCCCAAACAAACTTATAAGCATTATGTTTTGTTCTTGTTGGAAGACATAAAATGGTACTTTTTAGCTTAGTAAAACAAATTTTCCAAAATATACCTGAGCAGTTAAAAATCTGTTTTATAGATTAGCACAATGCAGGCTTTGAGGGGAATATACATTGTTTTTACTAAAAGAATGAATGGTATTGTAGTTAAGTGAAAAATTTAGCAAGTAAAACAACAAAGAAGTATAGAGGTGGTGGAGTTTAATTTCTGGGTGTGTATTCTAGAGCCTGTCTACATTTTACTATACAGCAGAGCATTAATAGATTGAAATAACAGTGAAAACTTCTGCAAAGGGCATAGAGAAAAAGTTTTCTATGTATGTGAAAAATACAACATATATAGGATTCTGCTGATCATTGTCTTTCTCCCATTTGGGATTTTTGGTTGGATTTGTCTTTTTGCACCGTAACTTTACAAGTGTCGGCCTTGTGTCCGTGTTGAGTGTTAGAAACAACTCTGTTGCACGGCAAAAATCAGACACCTACCTTAAAGGGGGCTCAGGGGAAACCTTTCCTCAGCGCTTTGTTCTTTACCATGGTAAATTTACTAACGAAGACCTGAGCAAAATGTGGGTCAGCCAAATAATGGTATGTTTTCACAGTGGCAGGGGGAGGCTCCACAGCTACCACAGAGCATGCTGTCTGCATGGAAGAGCAGCTGGGGGCCAGGTGGCACGATGTTTTTGCAATGTAGTCCACAAGCCTGTTAAACTGCTGCTCCGACAGTCTCTCCCGGGCACCATCCATCTGGGTTCCAAAAACAAAGGGTTCCTTAATTAGTTGCCAACAAAATTATTCAGGATGTACTTGTCACTATGTCTGTCTCCTAGTTAAGCCATTCTAAGCTAGTCATTCTTCTGAGCTGAAGCAATGCAGCACAGTGTCAGCATATGTAAGTAACCATGTCTTCACAACACTATAGACAACCTCCTTGGAATAAACGGCTCACTGCATACAATTCCCGTGTTTAAAGTTAATCATTCACTATTAACACATCTGTCATACTTTTTACCAAGTAGCCAAGGGACAAAGGAGAAGAACACCTTGTGCTCACATGTGGTCAGTATCCAACTCAGCATCCCAAATAAAAATTACTCTGCTTCCCAGAGCCTCAGCATTTGACAGAGAGCAGACAAGAGGACCTCATTCAAACCAGCGGCTTTGGGCAGACCAGCTTTAAAAACAGCACCCCCTCCCCCGCCATCACCTTTTTGAACTGTAACATTTTCTGTTTTTATAAATACTAGGATTGAAAGCCAGAAAAAATAGAAAAACTGGGCAGAGGAAGGGGAAATTTTTATGGCAAAAAGGGAGGATGCAAACTACATTTATGGTTCATAAAAGTCTGGCTCATCTTCAGTAGAACTCAAGAGAACTGAGATAGATATATTACTTATGTTCTTAAGTGAGACTGAGGAAGCACCCATCAAAGGCACTTAGGTCTATAAATTCTTCCCACCCTGAAGGCCCATAGCTATCTAGTGTGCAAATCAAGTGGAGAATTGGAGAGTTGGCCACTGGTCTGTAGAATTCAGCAGCCACTGACTTTGTAGTGTTTTTTTTTTTTTTTTCCTCTGTCTCTTTTTTTTTTTTTTTTGGTCTTTATATTACCGCAACTCACTCTGAGTCCTTGCCAATATTCAGGTTTAAAAAGAAGAAAAGAAAAAAAAAATTAAATGGGGCCCAGAAAAAAAACAAAATGTAGCTGAAGTATAAAAAGTTGTAAAAAGCTACAGAAAACAGATAGCAAAGAGGCCTGTCAGGGGAGTACTTTAAGGATTGTCCTATAGTCTGGGTCTTATATTTTTCAGCTTGAGAAAGAAAAGGAAAACCCTAAGAGTCACTGACAGATTTGCTGTCACCAGGCACCACCAGGCAAAGGCCAGAGTTCTGATATCATTTGATGGGGCTAGAATTCATCTGGAGAGCTTTGCATATACAAAAAATCTTAATTGTGCCTTCTGAACAGCAGCACAGGAAAGCCCATGTTGTGAAAGGAACCTGGCCAAGGAATAAATTGACCTCCTGACTCATTTTGAGCTTCTCATAGGGGATTTTAATAATGTGCCAGGCATATTAAGCAATTATCCCTAAAAAATGACTGCATTTAACCAAGAAAAGCAATGCTGACTAAAAACAAAACAAAAACAAAAAAACCCCAAAACCTGCCATAATTGAGTATGCTCAATGATGTCATTTACAAATTAATTCCTTCCAAAATTCAAAGGAGTTCTGTTTCTAGCCTCTACGGCGAAAGGGTCCTTTACAGAGCTTGAAGTAATTCTCTTGGTTTTCTGACCAGGCTTTGGGTCTGGATTGTGTTAGGTTCTGATCTGAGCAGGACAACTGGAGAAAACCAGTGCCTCCAACAGCTCTTGCCTCTTAGTGAAAATACGCTCCTGCATCACAGCTCTCAATGAAGGCCTTTCAGAAATGCCCTACAGCTTCAGTTTTCTTCATTGGGGCAGGTTAGGTAGTAGTTATGAGTTGACAGTATGAACAGAACAAAGCAATACTGAGGAAGTACAGTGGCGCTTGATACACTGGTCATTTATTTACTCTGCACAAGACAGGTCTGTGAGTTTGTTTAATGGTTGTCTTGGACGGCTCTGAGTTTCGGCTTCTGTAACAGCCATTCCTTTACTCCTGGACATCATCAGGTTTTGATGCTTCCATCTCTTAGCTTGGTAAGTTCATAGTCTAAACTCTCACAGCTTCTACAGATGCTGATTTGGATCAACACAAAAACAACAGGTCTCAATCCGCTCCCCTGCTACCCTCAAACAAATGCAAATGAGGTTAAGACTTAGATTTCAGTAAAAGATGAATGAATCGCATAGTAGAAGTATGTATGTGCTGACTTAAGGCAAAAAAAAAAAAACAACTGGTCACAGATATTTCTTGGAGCTTAGAGCTTGGACTAAGAACTTGAAGACAATGCCATTTTTTTTTTTTTTTTGTTTTGTTTTGTTTTTTTGTTTTTTGCCAAATCATGTAGCCAGATCACTGCTGCTTTACTGTCAACTGGATCAGAAGATTTCTGGAAGATCTAATGAAGTCAGCCTGGATATCTGACCCCTGTTTATTCCCAGAAAGTCATCAACTGAAAGCAGCAGTGCAGTGTTGTGCCAATAAAGCCGTCCAAGAAGCAAGAGAGATCTTAGGAGATGTTGTGGTTGGCTACTTTCCATCTGCTCAGATAATTCTACACAAATAGTGTTGTGAGGGAGAAAGGGTCCCATATCAGGGGAAATATCATGAAAGAAGGAATTGGGCAGGTTCTGTTGTGTAAACTTGGTTGTTAGTCTTCAATGTCCAGTAAGGACCACCACCATCTCATGGAAAAAACAATTAAAAATTTTTTTAATCAGTAATTCCATCACCTGGGAGGAACATAGGAAGAAAGGAGTTTTCTAGTTGGTTGCATCTGCTTCTTGTAAGTTGGAGTGGAGGAGGCCAGGGCTACTCTGGCAGGGCCCCTTCTGTAAACACTGCATATCTAGAGTGCATCCCCCCAAACCTAAGCTGTTCCCAGGTAGCATCCCTACTTACAGGGCAGTGTCATGTGTGACACCCTCATGGGAAAAGGAAAAACAGTTGCAGAATAAAGCAGGAGAGATGTACCTAAATCTTGGGTTGGGTATAGGTAAAGGAACAGAAGGAAGGGGAAACAATGGCAAAAACCCTACCACTTGTCAGTTTGCAAAAGATTAAGCCTCTTGCCCTTGTCTTGACTTGCACGTGATGCCCCTCATTGATGAAGCAGTCTTTACACCCCGACACTTATAGCCACCCCCATGGTGCACAGTTTAAAGACCTCACGTGCAGTTGCTGGGAATAGCTGCTATTTACTCTGCCCACTACTCCCTTTTAAACTATTGTACTACCATTTTTTCCCTAGTTCCTCAATCTCACAACAGCTGTGTCATATTAGCCTTATTCAGTTTACACTGTAGCTCAGCCCGAGGCTGGGAGTTCCTCCGACCATCTACTTGGCTCATCTCTAAAGGGTTTACATGCGCAGGTAGGTGGGACCTTTCTAGCCCTTTCTGCAATGCCTACCTTGTCTCCTTCACAGTCCTTCCTGATCTTCCTGGTCTCCTAGATCTCGAAGACCAGGGATGAGGCTACATCTTGACATCTTGACTCCCTGAAAACTAGCCCCAGTAATCCTGTGTTTTGAACTGTACCTCTACATCACAGGCTACTCTTGGCTGCTTGAGCTGCACAGTGAGCAGGTTGTTTTGCTTGCTGTCCTGTGCACAGTCGATCTCTGTGATGGGAAAGGCCTGTTGCTGTGTGTCCTCACTGATGCTTACGACAAACAGCACTTCTGATGTTAGCAGCAAGCACCCTTCATGCTCCTGGCCTGAGCCCCTCACCAGAATCACATCCAGGGCCATGTGGACTTCTGGTCTACCTAGAGACTGAAGCATTTTCCTGTTTAAAAAGAAGAAAGTGAGGTCACAACCACGCCTGAGAAACACATACAATAGCTTTCACTCGTTTTCAGTGACTAGAGCATGCCCTGCTCCCAACACATAAAAAAAACCAAACCAAAACCAAAAACACAGCCCTTCCCAAGGGCAAAGTGGACTGTTAACTTAGCTTAATATTACAGTACTTCTGTGTCTACTATAGCTGGCTAAAGAAATGTTAATTGTCAGTTCTCAGGCTGATTCTGATTAGTAGAGTGGCTTCTGAAGAGATTTCAAATCTATGCTTCATTTAGCTGTTTTCTTCCCATTGGAAATAAGCCCCCAGAGGAAGTCCCTCGTTTCCCAGGGAATCTTGATCCTTAAGAAATCCAAGGAGATGGGATAATTTTGTTTATTCTCCTTGGGTTGCCAGGCTGGCCTTGAACTGACAATCCTGCCTTGGCCTCCCACAGCCAGTGGGCTCTCCTACAACCAGTCTGTGGAGCGGAGTTCTCTACCTAGTTTTAAGCTGGAAAGAGCAGCATTTCCACAAAACTGCCCAAGAGGCTAGTGTCAAAAACAGCTGTTCCTTCAGTGTCCCTTGGACACATGTCCAGGGTCTATCAACGAACAGTGTAAATGTAAATAGAGCAAGTGGCTCAAGAGTTTTACCAGACATATTTGACATGGCTGTTTGGAGCTTGGTCAGCCTGTAGATCTCTTGGTTGGTACCGTTGTTTGGGAAGCTGAGAAAGTCCAGCTCCGTGTAAAATCCCTGTGGTAAGAGAAGCAAAGAAGCTGTACTGCTTGTTCTGGAAAGCACTCCTATGCCGCAGTGATGTTATCTTACCGCTCTCCATAAAATGTTACAGATTCAAAAGGGGGTCACCTCTTTAGAAGTGAGTGTGCAGACAGCCACTGAACGCCTGCTGGTGCTGCCTTAGGCTGTACTTAAAGCAGTGCTTTTCAACCTGTGGGTCGCAACCCCTCTGGGGTCAAATGACCCTTTTCACAGGAGTCACCCAAGACCATTGGAAACACAGACACTTACATTACAACTCAACAGTAGTTATAAAGTAGAAATGAAAATAATTATGGTTGGGGGTCACCACAACATGAATTGTATGTATTAAAGGGTCGCCGCATTAGGAAGGTTGAGAACCAGAGGCAGCATAATGTTTCCTGGGAGAACTAGTCATAGAACAGTGTCTTATAGGTCATTTAAAACATGGCTGTTTTAAGTCAGCATTATTGGACTGTGCTGTTTAATATTTCTATATCCAATGAGTGGCTAAAAACAAAACCCAAACCAGCTACATACAAAAGCACATGGTTTGCCTTGATATAGTATTTAAATTTAAATGAGTTAATCCAGCTGTTAAACAAGATTCTGTATACATTTATGAGTGCTCTTGGGGCCTCTGGTTTATTACATGCTTTCCTTGGTACCAAATGAGGGCACCCAGCAGCAGCCACATAAGTCTCCAAAGAGACTCTCCAGATCCAAAGATGGTACAGCATGTGTGCTTTCTGAGGACTTGTAAATGTTTATAAATGAGGGATAGTCATTAGACTAAGAGTTAGTGGTTTGTAAAACCTTCAGTGCGGTAATAAAAGTTTTACAAGAAAGCAAAAAGGCCATGTGAAGCCCTGCTCCGAGATGCTCTTATATAGGGCTAGTTCCTGAGCCTGAGAAGCCTGGGGAGACAGTGCAGGCATTTTATGAAGTAGAATTTGTACCCCATTCAAGTTTCTAGCAAAGAGAACACTTTTTTCATATTAAACAAGGGAGAGTTTAACTGTTTCCACCTAAGATCTAGCAATTTGTACTGTCAGTTTCCTGTGAATGAGCCTGTTTTCCACAGGAGACTAGAGAGGGGAGCAAAAGCATGGCTGTCAGTGTGGTCTCTCAAAGGATGCTCTGGCTATGTGCCCTGATCAGGCTGTGTCTTGTCAGAACTGAGGTATAGGACGCCTACAGTGAAATGTGTCCTTTTGATTGCCTGGCCAGATGTAGACAGAGCATGTGCTGTCTGACAAGTGGGTGGCCTCTCCTACGGTCTGAAATGCCAGCTAGCTTGCCTGTTGTATAGCTAAAAGGATACCATCAAGTTTTAAGTAAAAAGGTAATTCTAATCACATGTTTACTGCAAGGTACTTTAATGTGCTCTGCCAAGAGTGCAGAAAATAAGCATGGGATGTGCTCCTTTTACACCATCATATACACAGGCACATTTGGGGAGATTTCCTGGCACTCTGCCACAGCTCCCCCTCCCTCCCAACCCCCATCTGCCAGTATCTGCTTGGGGAAAGGGGTTTTAGCTGCACCTTTGCTCCCATTGACTAGGAAACTCTAGAGCTGGGAAATGCAGATGACTCCCAAAGATCAGTGTGTCCACAATCAACAAGCACAGATATCCTCCTGACTTAATCGTTTTTCTGCCCCAATTTATCACAGGAAAAAGTAATTTTCTCTGTTGCCATACTGGTTACTTTTTTATTAAAATTAATTGCACTAAACGGCATGTGATCTGAAGTTACTCCCTGATGTTACTAATTGGCAGTGGTCATACTCTTTAAATAAACACTGGGATACAAAAAAGATAGCTATTATTTATCCACTTTATCCATTTTACCCTTACCCATGGGAAAGGCTTGATTCAGAGAACCTGAAGAGGAATGGACATGGATTAGTCAGGCCTCATTTGGCCTACTCACCATAGCCAGTCTGTGACACAAATTCTGCAGCTCCCCCAATGGGTTTGGTGAATACCCCCATGATTCCTTTACCCACGCCTGAGATGACACCTTTGGCCTTATGTCCTGCTGTAGCCTGGCTCTCAGATGTTTTCTGGAAGTTCTGCATTGGCTGATCAACTATACCAGCAATTGCACCTGAAATAACAAAAGCTTTCAATGAGGACAGAGCTTAAAGTCTCTTGGGTAAAACCTCAGTTAGGAGCAGTTTACTCGTGACTGAAAATGAATCCCTACCCTCATAACATTTTATTTACCAATAAGCTAAGTGCATCGAGGGACATTTACACTAGATGCTTTCATCAAAACAATGCTCAGATTGGGTTCGGGTCACAAGTTAGGATATAGAAACGAGATTACTCTTTGAGTGTTAGCCATGTGTCTTTCTGCAGAAGTAAGAATACATTTTGAGGAGAAAGCACTGTCACAAGAGCCTGCATAGCCCAATAAACTTAACCAGAAGAGGATCAGCTCCATTCTATGTCACCACTTTTGTGTGGGGGTGGGGTGAGGGGTGCTTTTGGAGGTCAGGTGTCTTCCTCCACTCTGTCTTATTTCCTTGAGACAGGGAGTTTGGCAGATTTTGAAGCTTACCGTTTTGGCTAGGCTGGTTGGCCAGTGAGCTCCAGGGTCAGTCTGCCTGTCCCTGCTCTTTGCTACTGCAGCTAAGCCCTGCTATTTTTCAAGAGTGCTGGGGATTTCAACTGAGCGCCTCAGGATTTCACAGAAAGCACTCTTATTCACTCCTGACTTAAGACAGTTAATTTCTAATTCAATACTATCACTATTAATATTTATTTAATAAAAGTAATTGTTGATAGGTTATTTCTGTTCTAGCTAGTCTACCAAGTGCTTATTATGAACTGAGCACTGTACAAAGGCCTTCACCCACATGAGGTCATTCAGTCCTCATAATCCTGAGTAAGGCCAACAGACAAGAGAGGGTAAGGAATTTCCCCAAAGTCATACAACTATTGAGTGGTTGGGCCTTGATTTGAGTCCAAGGATTTTGAGTTATTTGCTCATCCAATTTATCAGATAGGTTCTTGGTCAATGTTGAAAACAAAACAAAACATTATTTCTCACTTTAGTTGAGGTTTGGCTGCACTCTTGACTTCAGAATAGCCATTAAAACACTACTTGCTTCACAAGTTGCTGTTCAGCTTTACCACTGGAGCCACCATTTCTAACTGAACTGGAAGGTAGTTACAAATGAAAGGCATCCCTCCGCCATCCATTCTCCTAAGTCCTCTAACTTCAGGGGTCAGTGATAAGGTCAGGAAAGGTTTCATGGGTCCTGACTTCATGACGAAGCAGAGGGCTCCTTAACTAGGAGAGATAGCTTTATAAGTCCTGACAGCCCCTTGTTTTCAGCTTGCGCCTGGCAAGAGTAATGCAAATGCAGTCCCTTGCTAGAAATTTAGTACATGTCAAATCACATTATTCCGAATGCCAACAATTCAAAAGTCTCTTGGGTAAAAGCAGATTTCTAGGTCTTGGTTAATGGCCTGCTAATTTCAAGATATAATCCATTGAGCAAAATACACTGAAACAAAAGATTAGACTAGTTCCTTCAAGTCAAGTCCAAAGGGACTGCTCTTTGCAGGTTCCTGGCCTTTAGGTTTTAACAGAAACATTTAAGTTTATGAATTGACAGATTAAGAATTTGCCAGAGGTGACAGCCTAGAATAATGCCACCCAAGCCTAAGGAAATGATGGACTGAGGGGAGGTTACAGCTTCCAGTTGGCCCAGGTTGTCTACTCCTGAGAACAGAGCTCTTCTATCACTCTTCTAGCACCCTAAGGTAGCTGGTGCTGCCAGTGTGGTACAGAAGATTCCTTCAGTTAAAGGACTAAGTTGCTCTTCTGCTCTCTCCCTTTAAGACTAGGGGCCACAGTGACATGGGGATGGAGACAGGCTAATGAAGATGCAGGGCTTGGAGTCTGTTTTGGTACTAGTTTGTAAGAGTGTTTCTTGTGGCCCAGGCTGGCTAAGTCACTACAGAGGCAAGGATGGCTCTGAGTTCTCGATCCTTATGCTTCCACCTAAGAGCCAGCGTAAATAATTGGAAATACATCAAATCATTGCCAATGTTTCTGGTGGAAATGCCCTTTCCAAGTGTGGCTTTCATTATAACTATTGAGTTGGAGGTAGGTATTTGCCCTCATTTAATATCTTCTCCCATTTCCCTTTCATGTGCCAGACCTAACCTGTGTGAGGGATGTGTCCTTTATAGCTGGTACTATCCACATAGGGTGCTCAGTTCTGTCCCCTCAGTGAAACTCCTTTTTGATCTCGTAGTTTCTTGTACTCACCAAAGGCTTCAATTGCAGTGGCTTTGATAGAAGCACTATTGGGATAGCTAAAAGAGTGGAAACCCTGGACTCCCTCCATAACAAAGTGTCAGATTCTGCCAGTTAGAGAAGGCCTTGCCAGGGCACTTGCCTTGAGTTGAGCCCCAGATTCTTGAGTGGCAGCAGCCACCCTTCATATAGCTCGCTGGCTGTCAGCAGCCGCCCTTTATGCAGCTCACTGAGATCAGGCACTATGGGCTCCTGTTTGTGCTGATGACATGGAGAACAGAGGCTCTGAAGAGATGAAAAGCTAAAGTTATCCTCTAGTCTGTAAATCTGGACGGAGGGAGGCAGCTTCTCAGGGCTTTAGGAGGCCTCTTCATAGGTATAATCTAGCCAAGTCCCGCAACTGGTAAATTATTTACTGTAATATTCTCAAACTGCTCTAAGGCTTCAGGTAGTGGAAACTGATCTCGAGATTTGTCTGCTGACAGCAAGAGGTCTGTGGAGTGGGTGGCCCCATGGAGAGTGCAGTAATGTGATGAGGTGAGTGTAGGAGGGAGGAGTGTGTGAGAGGGGCACCCATGGTAGACTCCATGCTAGGCTTTAGGGAGCTGTAGGAGGCCTGTCCTGAAGAAACAAAGGACTTCCTTTTCCTCTTCTATGACTTGCTCCAGGAATCACCAAGGACACTTATTACTAATGTGTTTTGATGGTAGCTTATTACACAATACAATTTTACAATTTTATTGTTCATTATAGGGGCATAGTCCCCACCATGCTGCTGGGGTGCCTACAGATGAGACCTATGCAGTGCAGCAGGCATTTCAGTTTGGGGCCAGCTTGTCAGGACAGATGAGCAAACTGGGGAGCAATTAAAATTGAATCTGTTAGTCTGCTAGTCCCAACTAACTGAAAATCCGACTATGGTAACAGATTTGATGTCCAAGGACCTTCTCAAGTGTACTCCTCTTTTGCTACTGATCTACCTATTATAGGCCCGTTTTGTTGGGATTCTGAAGGCACCAGCTCCTCCCAAGCGTACCAAGATAGAGGTGGAACCCAGTATAACTGAGGGGGCCAGCTTTTCCTAGTCGGCTCCAGGGCACAGAAACCTCTGTGGCAGTTTGGTAAACTGAAGTGATTTTGGCATGTGTAAGCAAAGCCAGTGCCAATTCTTCAGGCCCAAGAGTTCCCCAGTGTGAAACTAAAGCTCATGTGAGGGTCCTGGTGGCCTCAGTGACCTGGAGCCACATGGCCTGAAGGAGCTACAGGTGTCTTTGGACTTTAAGTGCTTTGTAACACTCCAGTGTCCCCAACGGGGCAAAAAAAGGGGCACATTTGGGGAAAATGCCTTTTTCCTACTCTGGAGCTCTCAGTTTTTACTCTCTTGTCTTGATTGTTTCTAACTGGGAGCCCTGAGTGCAAGTGACAGGGCAGAAAGTACCAGGCTCTTGCTGCGTAGCGACTTAAACGTAACACCAAGGCTGTTAAGGTGGAGTGTGATGATGCGTGTTGAAGGAAGTGCTGTGTCAACACTAATGCATTTTAAGTAGATTCTCATTAACTGAGTTCTTACAGAAAGAAAAGCCTGAGAGCAGCTGAATTGCAGTCCTCTCTGTGGCTTCAGTTCTCTTAACAACAGATCCAGCTTCATTAAGGCCCCTAGTTCCATGTGGCAATTCTAAACACCTGGGGATCAATTTGAAGAGGTGACACTGAGACTTGCTTGTTTCTCTTTCTTCTGGCAGTTGCTCAAATGCCACTCCAAGTCAGCACACTCTTACAGTCCTTTTGACTGCAGAGCATAACTGATTCCTGTCTACTCAATATGTGCCCTGTGACCCCTGCCTGCTCACTGTTTCTAATAACTGCATTATCAGCTCCAGTTTACAAACAAATGCAGGGTTAAAGAAGTTAAAAATTTGCCTGAGATCACAAAGAAAAGGTAACCTAGTTTGGAGTCCAGGGCCCTTAGGGCCACACCATCCTTTCCAAAGGAGTCCTTTGGGTTGCAGAATCAAGCAAGGAAAGGGCTGGCTTACCCAGCACTCATCACAGGTCACTGCCTTCCCAGTTTCCACACATTATCAAATGACAGCACCCCACCACAGAAACCGTTACTGCTTAAACAATCTCTAGGAACTCAACCTGCACTTGTAACATTTTACCGCTTCCTTCACAGCCTCAGTTGGCTGCACTGCTGTTAAGGAGGTGGAGGAGAAAAGAATAAAGGGAGGAGGAAGCCTGTCAGACTCATCTTTTCTACCCTGGGCTCTGAACCTCCATGGTCACTTTGATCTCCATACACCGCACACTCCCTCAGATGCGTGAACGGTGGGGTGCCAAGCAGTACAGTTTTAAATTCCTTTGCAAGAAAATAAACAAAATATCCTTGAAAATCCTACCCTGCAAATTTCTATCTCTGAAGCTGCCTTTTAGTAGATTTCTCCAAAGCAACTTATTTTCAAACACTTGAAACTTTGAAATACCCACAGCACTCTTCACCTCTAACTGGCTGCTTGACCAACAATTGTTTTGCGATGGGCTGATCTGAAATAAATAAATCAAAGGGGAAGCTGGCTCCTCACACAGTTTGCATGGCATGTGTACACTGCTCCATGGCAAGTGCTGCTCCAACAAAAGCTAGCAGCCATTGTCACGGGGAATAAATGCTTTGGCAAAGTTGCTGGCTGCTCACTTCTAAAAGTGCTCAGGGGTGTCCTGGGCAATTATCCTTTGCTTTGGAGATTGCACACCAGGGCCCATGTTTGGCAGGGAAGGGAGAGCACAGGTGTTGTGCCCGGTGGTCTCCGCAGGCAGCCCTGAGAGCCCTGTTAAGAAGCGCAGCAACTCTGAAGAGTAGGCCCTGCCCCAGTGATGCACTGCAGGCATCACAGCAAGAGTCTGGTCCTCTCAAGGCCCAGTTCTGCCTCCGAAAGGTCATCACCTTTACAACTATTCCCCTGGAGGAGGCAATGTGGCCATTCCTGGCAGAGCCTGCAGAGCTGATGCAGACAGCCACAGTCCCTTACCGAGCAGGCTGATACCCAGCCTGGACAGGCCCTGTCGCAGTCCCTCGCCCAGGCTCTCAGGGAGCTGCCGCCGCCACTCCTCCTGCCGGTTGTAGTGCTCCTCATCCAGGGAAAGCCGGTCCATATTTCGGGCCAGGCTGGTGGCCAAGTTGGTGATGGACGTCAAGGTACCTGAGAGAACAATGGGTTGGTTTCCTTTTCACAGACATGATGGGCTTCAGGTAGTAGACCAGGAGGTTTGTAACATGCCAAGTGGGGAGTGACAGTCTTCCCTTCCCAGCCATTCGAAGCAAGAAATACAACATTTGTGCATGGGAGTGCTGGCACTTTGCAGTGGGGCAGAAATCTCCCTACATACCCTTCCAATCATTTGTCAAGACTTGGAGAAATATGGATCCAGTTTGAAGAGGTTAAAATTTACCTGCTCTGATCTCTGTGTGTATGTGTTTGTTATGGAGGACTGTACCTCGGCGTTGCTTACTGACCACATCCCTAGCCTACCTGCCTTTCTGAGCTCATTTCACAAGTTATGTTCCTTAGTCCTAGACAGATGTCAAGAAATGTTCTCACTTAAGGACTAAAATTATTGCCTTTTTATAAATTCAGTCTACCCCACTCCCTCCTCTGTCCTCTTACCATGCTTAGATTGATTCTGAACTTGTGATCTTTCTCACCAAACACCTGGCTAGACATTAAACTCTTATCATTTGGCATTCTGAGGAAATAACTATTTGCTACAGAAACTTAAATAGTTTTGATAATGAGGATATTGACAGATGGAAAAGACAATAAAGAGACTGAAGCAATGATGCTGTTTGGTTTTCCTGAGAGGCAACTTCAGCCACATGTTCCAACAGCCCTGCCCTCCCCAGCAAGTGCATTATGTATTTCAGTCAGCAAAACCGGAAGACACCAATGGAAAAGAAACGGTAGGTGACATTTCTGAAGCTACTTTAAGCTACTTTTTTTTAACCTGTGGTCTGAAAACACACACACACACACACACACACACACACACACACACACACACACACAGCTCTGATTTTGCTAGAATGGGAGAACAAATGTAGTTGCTGGGAATTAAACTCAGGACCTCTGGAAGAGCAGCCAGTGCTCTTAACCTCTGAGCCATCTCTCCAGCCCCCCCCCCTTTTTTTTTTTTTTTATTCATTATGTATACATTCTTCTGCCTGCATGTACACCTGCACCATATCTCATTATAGATGGTTGTGAGCCACCATGTGGTTGCTGGAAATTGAACTCAGGACCTTTGGAAGAAGAGTCAGTGCTCCTAACCTCTGAGCCATCTCTCCAGCCCCGAGAACAAATGTAAAATCCAGTCAGGATGCTAAATATACCACTGAGGTTCCGTTTAGCAGGTGTTTGCTATCATATTGTAAACTAGAAGCCACAGAGCCTCCAAGATTCTGTGACAGGAGCAAGAAGCCCACCAGGCGCACATCTGTGAGCCTCTAGTCAGCAAGTAGGCCTCCAAGGATCTGGGGCTGGAGGCGGCTCCCTCTCATTGGCCATGGAATTTGTTTTTATTGCTTTGGCTGTTCTCTTGCCAACCCCCAACCCATAGCCCCCTTTCTCTCTATGGATCATGGATTTCAAGCCTAAGTCTTTTTTTGAGGCCTTCTAGAGACTTCCATAACATGCCCACTCATAACAGAGTTAAGGTATTGTCTACAGTAACATGCCTTTTATAGGCAAGAGGCCTTTGCCCTGTTTTCTCTGCCTCCCACTGAGAAGAAAAGGGACTCAGATGGCCCTTGTTAGTTCCCCAGTCACTGCCAACCTGACCAAAGTATCAAGCAAACACTGATGAAATGAAAACATTCTTCTGGTGGGAAGCAGTTTAGCCTCCACAAGATGGCACTGTGGATGTAGGGAGCTGGAGGGAGGCTGGCCTAGAAATCAGCTTTCTCATCACTGTCCTTAAGACAGTTGATACCTGTATGTACATTTTAAAAACATGAGGCAACTGGTGTATGATTCCCGATGCTTAGCAGGAATCATGATGGACACCTTCAATATTGCCGTATTGGTTGCATGGAATAACAGCTGAGCCAGGCTTTGTTTTCCCAATGAGAGGTTTAAGATCCTCAAGTTTCTGAAACATTTCCACACTACATACAGGCAAGCAGTGATTTGTTTAAAACACAAAACAGTCTACATAAGCTGTGCTACAAGCCCAGCATTTCATGGCAAGCTAACACAGCAACAGAAGCTGGAGGCTGGGTAACGACACTGAAACGCTTTAACTCCTGAAAACAAGACAAGGACTGGCAACAACTTCACAGCTACCTTTAGAAATGTGCTTGACGAATGATGTGGTCCCTCTGGAGACTCCACTCACGAAGGCCCCTGGGCCTCGTGTCAGCCCCTCATATGGAAGCCGGAAGAAGTCTGAGATCCCATTTCCAATGCTTCTCACTAAGCTGGCAGGACTGCCGAGGATTTCCAGAGACCCCACCACCCAGCCTGCAACACAAGGAAAGTGGTTATTGAGACCTTGAGTTCAGTGCTTTCAGCATTTGTGAAAAGTGGCCTGTTTTCCCCGAAATTCCCTTTTCACACCAGAATAGAGGGTGTCGTAAGCTGCTTTGGAGCAGAATATGGGAAATAACTCATTCTCCATGAATTCATAAATGGTGAACTTTCATACTTTATAAATCAGAGGTCCCTCTGGCAGCCTTGCAAATGGCTTTAATATGACTTCTGTGCCCAAGCCTCCTGTACTCCTGTAAAGGGAACCATGTGCAGACAGCACCCCCACCCATAGATCAGGCAGGCGTTCTGGGCTGCAGGTGCTCACACACTGAGAAGTTCCTCCCAGCCTGCCAGGGTAGGATCTGCCTGGTGGGGAGCAGCCAGATGCTAAATAGGGTGCTGCAAAAGGGATGCAAACCTTGACAAAGATGGAGGAGTTATGTTTAATCTTCCCCACTCCTATCGAGCTGTGCGCTTCCCTTAGAGTGGAGCTAGAGCCAAACAAATGTCTCCCCTTCAACCCTAGCTTCAGTTGTGTAAACATCACTGACAGGGACATACTGATTAGGTTAGTGAGACGGAAGTGTTCTCCCATCCATGTCCCAGGAGGGTGGCTTTGCGTCTGGTTTCCTATTTAAACTCGGGCTTGCCAGGAGCTGGCCTGCTCACAGCCTTCTGCCTCGTGGGAATGAGGCTGCCATGCAGTCCACAGCAGCTGCCTTTCCCCTTCCTCCTGGGGTGGGGACTGAGGGCTATAAGCCCAGAGGACTCCAGGGGCAGGCAGGGACCAGGGTCAAGGGGAAGAGGAATCTGGAAAAAAAAAATTCCTCTAGGAATTTTTGTTTTGTTTTCATTTTTAAGACAGGGTTTCTTTGTGTAGCCTTGGTTGTCCTGGACGTACTTTGTGGACCAGGCTGGCCTCAAACTCAAAGAGATCTGCCTGCTTCTGCCTCCTAGAGTTCTGGGGTTACAGGCATGTGCTGCCATGCCCAGCTTCCTCCAGGAATCTTTAGGCCGTAACCCAGTACTGTGGCCTTTTTCTTGGGAAGACTGTGAGGAGAGGACCTATGTGGGAGCTGTTACCCCCTTCAACAGCAAGTCCATGACAGAGCCTCAGGTATGTCACCAGTCCAAGCAGAATGCCAGGTCACCATCAAAGCAGAGAGGGCAGGACTTTAATAAATTTTGATTCCTCTCCCTTTCTAGAACATAAGGATTGACAACATGGGTTTCAGTCAATGTGGGAAGTAACATCTCGATGAAGACTGAACAATGAGGAGCCACGTGGGGGTCAAGGCATTGCTCATGGAATCCTCCAAGCAGCAAGGCATCTTCACCTTGCAAATGTATCCTGACCCCTGAGCTGCTGGTCACAGCTGTATAGATACAGGAGGCAGGTACAAGCCCACCTGCTGTTGGGTGTCTGCTGGGCCTCCACTGGCAGGAAGCAGAGGACACGGAGCCTGAGATAATGGTAGGAAGTCACTCACACTTTCTGGCTGATGAGACAAGGGAGTAGGGTTTCCAACCTTTACTTGACCCCTGCCCTCCTCTCCCCTAAACCCAGCAGGGTCTTATGGAAGAAGTTAGTACTGAAAGGCACTCTGTGGAGGTAAAACAAAAACAGCAGATTCTCCTTGGACAATCTCCCAGAATGATCGATCATAAGGGTCCATCTGAGGGCTGGTTTAGAAACATTTGTTTCCCTTAGCATATGTGAAAGAGCACCAGCTATGATGCTTTAGGTTTGAGAATTTGGGAACACAGGGGGGAAGGACCAGCCTTGTCTCTTAGCTCCCATCCAGCTACTGGGAGCCCTTTCTTGTTCTTCCTAGCAATGTGAAGAGTGATACTGACATTTCCTCTTGGGTGATCAGTGAAGCCTGAAACCACCAGAGGGCTGTCTGTGGACTGAGATGCAACTTGGTGGCATCTAAGCTGGACAGAAAAGTCAGAAACTAGGCAAGGATACTCTTTATTACTTTCTCCAGAAGCAAAAAAGAGGCCCCTCAGCATCCACCAGGCATGGGTTCCAGGGCCCCTGCAAGCACTAAAATCTAAAGATGCCACACGCTCATAAACAAATGTGTGGCATCGAACTTCTGCTGCCCTCCAGTATACTCAAACCACTTCCGGATTATATGTAATCCTGAATATAATGCAAAATCCTGAATATAATGCAAATGTTTTTATGCTTTTAATTTTAAAATGTTTACTCCATTTACTTGTGGGTGTGGTTGTGCAAGTGAGTATGCAAAGGCCACAATGCACTTGTGGAGGACACAGGACAACTTGCAAATCGGTTCTCTCCTCCACCTTTACCCACCTGGCTAGCAGGCCATCTTGCTGGCCTCTTTATTCTGTAAATTTAAGAGATTAACATCAAGAACACACTTGATTCTTTTCTTTGAGTATTTTCAGGCTACAACTGGTTGAATTTGCAGATGTGAACCTAAGGATGCAGAGGTCCATCTGCATACTTTTGGCTTAGTTTTTGGAAATTTTGTTGGTAACCTGAGTCTATTTGGCCTAGTGTGAGACTGAGAGCTGGAGGGAGGTTACTCATTTCTAGTTAGCAGTTATTTATTTTTAAGGCCTCTTCAAATGACTCCACAGACTTCCCTAGAAATGAGGTCAGGGTGTTTTTAACCATCCCATCCAGGAACCTTGAGTCCAATGGGTGAATCGGCCACAAGTGACATAGATACAACCTGCTCCCTCCCAGCCAGCCCTCACCCTCTCTCTTACAAGAATGCTAATCCATTCTCTGTAGGCCTTTCTATTTCTCATTCCTTCAACTGTTTTCTTTCAGATAATATTCACAATGACCATAGAGTTTTAGTGACAATGTTTCAAAAATTATTCTCACTAAAAAAAAAAAAAAAACAACCCAGCTTTGGTATTAGAATTTCTTTCCTGATATATACTGAGATTGAGATAACCATGGGAATTTTAATTGAATTACAAAAAGCCAAAGAGGATGTTTATTTACATGAGATCCCTTAGTAAACCAAGGCGGGCAGCTCAGCACAAAGCTACAGAGGCCACGGCTACTTGGGCACAGGTGGAGTCTGTCTTCCTAGCTTAGTGTCAGCTGTGACTGCAGGAAGTGCTCCTCCTTCCTTGCCCTTTGACTAGAGAACACTGCTTTATGCCAAGCAACCAAAAGGGTAAGTGTCTGGGGTAGTTTACAGACATACACATCTATTCAGTTTGAAATAATATGGATTATTTTAAAAATGACTCCTTAGCAAGGGGGAAATATTTTCTTCACTATTGTACAGACTATCCAAACAACAGATCAATAAGGCTCTCAGCTGGAAGCTGTCATTTTCCTCCATAGCGGAGTCAGGGTCTCCCTGTTTTATGTGATCATAGGCCTCTTACCAATGCTAACAGTCATTTGCTGCCACTCTCTGAACAGTCTACAGTAATTCACTCGCCGAGCGCAAGGTTATCACTGGCAGGAAGTCAGTCTTCAGGTTCTTTACCGGAAAAGACTTAAAGCCCAGTGTAGATGCTGCTTTTGACGTGAATGTTAGCAACTTTGAGACCAGGCTATCAAGCTGAACCAAGAGTGACCCTAGGTCAGGAACACATGTTCTGGAGACCATGACTGTGAAGTAGTTTGAGACCATGGGAGCCAAACTCTTATCTTTAGCACACAGTGCCCTCCATGGATGATTCTGTACTCACATCAAACACCCTTTGCAAGCTCTTCCGGCCAGATGGGAAACAAGCTTTACTCTTCCCCTTGGCCCTAGTATAAACCATGCCATAGCCTGTAGCAGGCCACCTGGCTGCCAACAAGAAGAGAGTGGGAGGAGAAGCAAGGGCCAGTCTTCCTCTCTGGATGAGTTGGTAGAGTATCCAGCCTTCTCTGTGCATTGTCTAGACAGGTAGCACCTGCTGGGGATGCCCAGGGCTCTTTTTACATCACAAATCCTCTGAACCTCTCACCTACGTTAACAGTAATGAAGAAAACTGACCGACCACTTGGCGCTGGACCGTTTTGTAGGCCAGGAGCTGAAGGCTCAGAGTGACTTCCCTGGCTGCACTAGTATGTTGAGACAGTCTTGTGCCTGCAAGGTACTAAAAACATGTTTGCTAAATTTAACTCATTTCTATGTTATGTGACAGCTAAAATATTATAGCTCCTATTAACTACCAAGCAAAATGCCAGGTTTGACATACGTCCAGCTGATCTTCTCGGGATTTTAAAGTCCTCTTTACAGCTGAAGACCCACACCCAGGGAGGGGTGAGAGTTCCCCAAGCTCACATTGCCAGTCCAGACCTGCATCCAGTTCTGTTCGATGTGGAGCCTGCATGCACCACCCTTTCCCTCCACTCCCTTGTGTTGTGAGGCAGACAGCTCCCCCACCAGTGTGCCATTTCCGCCCAGGTGCTGTCCCGCCACAGACCCTTCACTTGCAACCTCACCTGCTCTGAAAAGAGCCCCAGCAGCATAGTGCATGGCCAGTGCATGCACCAGTTGCCTTGCCGTAGTGAACACTGGTCCTCTTTCAAAGACAGAGAAGGAGAGAGGAGTGTGGTCAGAAGCTATATACAGCTTGAGGGACGCATGGATGCTGACGAGCAGGCTCACTGGCTGGATGATGAGCTTCCGTAACTTCACCGGGTGCACCAAGGCCCTGGCATGCTGTCTCACTTGCATGGGCAGCACCTGGTCCTCTGCAGGGAGCTGTGCATGGGGAGCAGCCAGCCTGCTGTGAGGAAGGTAGGTGTCAAACAAAGTTTTGAGGTAGTACACGAAGGTGTCCTCCACATACAGCCGCGCTGGTTTCAGTTCAAAAGTGAACTCACTGGCATCAAAGAGGAAGTCCTTCCCCTCAGATACAGTAAGGGAAAGTTTGATGAAGCAGTTCTCCTTGTATTCTTCTAAGTCTTTGCTGGAGGCCAAAAGACTGTGCACTCTGGAGTACTGGGCTGACTCTGTTTTCTCTCCTTGGCAGACCAAGACAGCAAAGTGGAAATTGGACTTGCTATATAGCTGGTTGTCCAGCTGTAGGTCTCCGCAATACACTTCCACACTGAAAAGCTGGAGGAAGGTGGAGGGAGGCTCTTCCTCTGGGAGGACACCAGGCACAGGAGACACGTGGAGAAAAACATTGTCCAAAGTGAGCCTCAGCAGCTCAGATGATGCCTTGTGCTGGGTGAGGTCGTCAGACACTGCCAGGCTCAGCTGCGTGATGAACATTCTGAAAGTGGCCACCTTCCCCAGAGCTCTGGAGAAGGGCAAAGCTTGTTAGGGTCTCTGCTTTCTTTCTGGTTTCCCTTTGGAGGACAGGGTCCTACCGCATACTCCCAATGGGAGAGATTCTCATAAGAAACAAATACGAACTCAACTTTCAGTACATGTCTGGACAGAGCCAGCCACAGGACGATTTTTGCAAAATGTTCCTGTTGGGACTATTATAAGCTCTTGTCATATTTCTGTATGTGTTTTCTCTTACCAACACCGGATTCCTTTTTTTTTTTTAACTACAAATTCCTCATTTTTATGCACTAATTTTCTGATATGATGATCATGGTACTCCTTATATTAAAAAAGATAAGCTGAGCAGAAGAAAGAGAACTCAGCATGTACCGCCTATTTCTACTGCACCCAAGTGTGTTCTGCTCTTCCTGCTCCAACTTCTCCAGTCAAAGAGTCCCTGGCCAGGTCCATGCCCTCTCTGGGGCATTTCAGCTCCTCCCCACTCACTTGCTCTTTAGAGTGCCATGTGTCCCATGCTACTTCCCTCTGTAATACTGTTAGTACAGGACGATGCAGTTATTCTACTTCTGAGTGAACCAAACCCTATTATAAAGTCACTTCCTCTCCACCTACTTTCCATTTCTCTGATCCTCTTTAGTTAAAAACAAAACAAAAAACCATTTCCACATAAATGTCTCTGATTCTTTCCTTTCTCTCTGCAGCTTGCTGCAACCTGGCTTATGCTCCCCTGTCTAACAAAACTGCCCCTTATCAAGGTCACTAGTGCTAGACCAAAAGCTGACTTCCAGCTCTGCGCCATCTGCTACTGTTAGAGGTCAGGACACATGTCCTTTCCTTGTATTATCTCAGATCTCCCACCTGGCTGGTGTCTCATCCTAAACTACCCTCGTGACTACCCCACCACACCACACCCAGATTACTTACATTTAGCAGATGGTTTTCTTCTGCAAAAGTATGCCCAGAATCTGAATCTGATCTCTCTCTCTTTAACCACTCTCACAGATACCAGGGCCTCTAGTGTGAATACACATAGTAACAGAGTTTCCTGATTGCTTCCACACTCATTTCTCTAGAAATCACATCAACACAATAGCCAACATCCTAAACACTGAAGTCTCAAATAACCTCCCTGCCTAAGATGCTCACGAGTCCCTCACTTCACTCAGCTATACCCAAACTCTCACAGTGCTCATGAGGCACGAAAGCACACACCTCTGCCTTTTCAGCCCTGCTGTCTTCTGTGCCAGGCACTCTGCTTTCAGGCCTTGGCACTGGCTGTGTCCTGGGTCTGGGAAGAACTTCCTCTTAACTGCCCTGCCTTGCTACTTTCAAGTCCTCATGTAATTGCAAGTCTCTTGAAAAGGTTTCCCTCAAACTATCTTCTTCACAACTCTATTCTTCCTGTTCCAAGGCCTTGCCAACTCACACCTCTAACTGGCTGTTTTTAATCCCTCTAGAGTGCTGATCTTCTGTACTCATGGAGTTTCTTTGCTCCAGCTTCTCCCATTCTGTGCCTGCGATAATAGAATCCTCTGTTTCCCTATTGCTAGAGCAGACCTAACATCCAGTAATCATTCAACATGACCCAGGAAAGTGTAAGCAAAACAAGTGTGAGCAGACACTATGTTATTATTTTACTCCACCAATAATTTTCTGTTCATGTCCTTTACCGCCACTTTTTTTTTTTTTCTTTTTTGGTTTTGTTTTGGAAGAGGGATATCTTTACATTATTTCTACTATATGATTATTTTAAGTTAAGAATATTAATTATTTATATGGTTTCTATTTTATTTTTTATTTATTTTGGGAGGTGAATGCTCATGCCCTGGTTCATGTGTGCAGGTTAGAGGACAACTTGTAGGAACTGGTTATCTGTATCATGTGAGCTGGGGGAATGGAACTCAGATCATCAGACTTGGTGGCATAAACTTCTTCCTGGGAGCCATCTTACCATTCCCTCTACATCTTACTTTTGAGACAGGTCTCTCGTTGGACCTGTCACTTGCCATTTGGGCTAGACTGGCTAGACAGCAAGCCCTTGGGATCTGCCTGTTTCCAGTCATCCACACTGTATTTACAGACCCATGGGTGCTGTATTTGGCTCTCATGGGGATGCTGAGTTCAGGTCCTCATTCTTTACAGCTAGCACTTTACCTGCTGAGCCACCTCCCCAGCCTCCTTTGGAATCTGAGGATAGGATTTGTATCAAAAGCTTTCAGAGCTGTGTTTATATTTACTATCAGTCTAAAAGAAAATCCTAGTTATTTACAAAGTTGTGTATTGAGAGATACTAACTTGCATTTTACACTAGTAATAATGGCACATTATTCAGAGGAATGTGTCTTAGCTTGGAAAGCAGTTGGCTGAACTTATCATAGAATTGGGAGACTCAACAAAGATGTTACATTATTATCATTCTCTATATATGCTGGAGGCATATTTTTAACAACTAGATCTTTACTTATGGATTATATGATAATCAACCAAAACTTTAGTATGTGTGTGGAGACAACAAGAATGATAAATAGTAGGTTTATAATTTTATAATGTGACAAGAATGGTAAATAATAGGTTTACAACATTATAAATGAAAGCTCACTGTACTGCTGCTAGAAAAACAAACCCACCTGCTGTTGTTGGTTAAAATGGGCCCTGCTTTTCCTTCTGGGGCCAGAGTGATAAAGACTGTGCCACACTGATGGGTGATGTCCACGTACACATAGCCAAAGCCGGTGAGGAACACAACCTGCCAAAAGAGTGTTTCAAATCTGATTAGAAGGAAATAAGCACATTGTTGAAATGGCTGACTTCAAGTGTCTCAAGTTTTGACTCCAAACTGCAAACACTTTCCAACCACGTGTACAGGCTATTTGGTTGACTTGAAAAAAAATCAAATCCAGATTTTTCAATATCCAGGCTGTAAGGTTCACAGAAAAAATAAAATGATGGATGATGGGGCGTGAGTGTCTTCATTCTCTACTTTTTGGAATTGGCACTAGCCCCATGTGGGCTGGAGGCCAGCCATAGGGCCAGCTTTGTATGTGCATATGAACTGCTGTGGGAAAAAACTTACAACTCAGGAATTTAAATGCAATGTGCAAAACCTTTTCAGGCACTGTGTGTTGACTTACTATTACAGGACAACCCCACAGGCTGAACACAAAAAATAAACAATCTCCAAATCCGACAACAAAAACCCCAATGTCCCTCACAGAACCAAAGACTTCACGTATGTTAAATTTGCTTAGTTGGAAAATTAAGTTTCCAACCATGAGAAAGTGGAGTAAAAGCTAATGAATAAAGAGCCTCTACTATCTCAGGAGCCAGGTGCCAGGCCAGCAGAACAGATGTCCTTTCAACATTAAATACCAATGTTGGCTAAATGAACGTGAAAACAGAGCAGAGCTATGTGAAAAACAACTCCAGGAACATCATATTCACAGCTAAGGAGTGAAGAGGGAAGAGGCAAGAACCTCCTTATGCTTGAGTGCTAAGTCTCATGATCTGCAATATCACCTAGATCTGGACCCTTTATTCTGGTTAAGACAGTAAATAACAGAACAAAGACTGTTTGCCTGACAAGCAGTGAATGTGTTGTAATGGTGATCTCACAAAGGCACCAGAGACTGTTTACACAGTCATGGGAAAGAAGTCATGGACTCACACTTAGAGGCAATGTCAAGGTCCCTGGGTCTCTTTCTTTACAATGTCTCCTTTAGAAACCCTGATATCATAAGCTTCCAGGGCACATAGATGTCACCCTGCCTTTTCCCACTGTGTCCAGCTGTGCTGAGGGCCTCTGCCCTCAAAGACTTGGCCCTCACCTGCGTTCACCTTGCCTCTTGGCCTCATTGTGCCTAGAACACCCCAACCCCCAAATACCTTTTTCAAAATCTGTTTAAAGGATGCCTTATTCTATGGGGTTATTATTTTCCTATTTCCCTCCTCAGTTCTACATTCTAAAAGCAGTTAAACATATTTCTACTTGATCACAAAATTTACCATTTGTTACCTATTTACAGATCAGACTCAATCACTGGATTCTAAACTTCTTGAGAACAGGAAAAAGCCAATTTGCTGTGCTTGTATTCTATACAGACAAGTCTCCCTGTTTGTTTTCCAAAAATATTTCATAAAGAACTGTTTCTTGAATTTTCTCTAACTGTTCCACCATAAGAATTAAGATGATTATCATAAAAATTAAAATGTCTCATTTTACAAATGTAAAACTAAATGAATTATTAGAGAAATATTCCCAGTTATAAAAGCCACTGCATAGCTGGCCGGAGGCTCAGCAGGTACAGGTGCTTGCTCTCAAGGCCAATGAACTAAATTTGGGCTGGGCTCCACAGGAGAGAATCTATCACTACAAGCTGCCTTCTCCCATTGGACCTGGCTCCCATGTGTACATACACACATTAAAGAAATAAATATCATTTAGAAGAAAATTGAAGGAGTCCTTTGTATAAGTTTTTTTTCCTATTTAAAGTCACCCTTTGTGTGACAGTTTTCTACTAGACTGACAGGTCTAGGATTACTAACTTGGAGTGACCATTTAAAGCTCTCAGTATCAGTCTTGCCTGTGATCCAGGTTTTTAGCAGAGAGTTCTAAAACCATAGCTATCATGCCTGTTGGAAGAAATGAAATGACCAGAACAGGGAACTATTTAGTGTTCAGCTTATTCTCAGAGTAATCTCTGGGTATTATGAAATGAAGATGTTTAAATAGTCTAAAGGAATAAAGACAAGGCTGGTTGACAGTCTGTGTTAAGTGCCTAAGGGACTTGTGATAGTAAGAAAATTAACCTAAACTTTCAAGGTACTTCTGACCAAAACGTCTGGACTTTGAATTTTGCCCAACAGATATGGCTAGAGGTCTGCCTCCCAGGTGATTGTAAATTTTTCTCAAATCGACAATTAAAACTAACCATTACAGCTGTCAAACACACACACACAAGCAAAATTTCAAAATACTTTTCTTCCTTCGGGGAAAATCTATTAAAACTTATCTTGTGCAGAAAATTGTTATAGCTACAATGACTTGAAGATGTAGAACTAGGAATTTCATTTTTCAGCTGATTTAAGCTATGACTCATTTTCATTAAAAAAAAAATCTATATATTGTGAAGGATAGCTTTAAACCTTGTCACTTATCTAGCCATGTGTGAAGTGCTTATTTAAAAATTTTCTTTAAGTTTCTTAGGCGCTTTTATAGAACCCAGGAGACCCCCAAACTTGTTAACTTAACCCTGATCTGCCCCTGGCTGATAGTGCAGATTTATATGACCAGGCTCCCCCACCCCTCTCTCTGAGACAGGTTCTCACACATAGCCTATGTTGGCCTCAGGCATGGCATACAGAAGCTGGAATGTCTGACCCCTCCCCCTTCCATCTCCCAAGTGCTGGGATTCTAGCATGCACCAGCATACCCAGCTGTACTGAGAAGTTCTTTATAAAGCATCTTAATAAAAGGTTAAGTCAGCCTGTAATCCCAGCCCTCAGGGAGGCAGAGGCAGGTGGATCTCTGTGAGTTTGAGGCCAGCCTGGTCTACAGAGCAAGTCGAGGACAGACAGCCAAGGCTACACAGAAGGCTACTGTCTTCAAAAAACAAAACCAAAAAACAAAAGTCAAGTTACGGTTTTAACACAGGGAGGAGTAGCTGGTTAGATTACATTTGAAATATTGTAATTCCATCTGCCATATTTTAAAAAGGGAACATAAAACACTGGTGTATTCAGACAAGGATAACTGGTGATGTGTCTGGGGAAGGAAACACTTAAGAGAAGATGTTTTAGGCTGGCATCAAAAACTTGCATCATAATTGTAGGAAAGGGAAGTAAATTCTGTGTGATTTACTGGACCAGTGATTCTAAACATTCCTAATACTGCAGTCCTGTATACAGTTCCTCATGTTGTGGTGACCTCCAACCATTACATTATTTTTGTTGTTACTTCATAGCTAATTTTGCTACTGTTACAAACTGTTAAGTAAAGATCTGTGTTTTCTGATGGTCTTAGGAAACCCCTGTAAAGAGGTTATTTGTCCCCAAAGGGGTCACAGCCCACTGGTTGAAGAACTCTGTCCTTGAGGGTAAAAAAGGATAAAGAGGACAGCTTCTAGCTGTCTGAGTAAGAACAATGTTTCTTACCATCTCACTGCAAAAGCTACAGCTATGACACAGAGATGTCACAGAAGGGGAAAAGGGGAAGATGAGAAAGCTTGTCTGACTTAAGCTTTGATGAACTTGCAGGTGATAACTTCTGTAGCCAAGGCATCTCACCAGAGGCTGGTCAGGGACCCCGACTTGGTGTAGGAAAAACAAAAGTGAGGGATTTATAAGCCAGTTGTTAGCTGGCTGATTCTACTCTGTAAGCCTGCAGCCTCTCATCAGCAAATAAACTCAGAAGCTACTGGCCTGACCAACTGAGGACCTTTGGTGATCAAAGGAGCTACCTTTGATTTACTGTACTCAACTGCATTTATTTATTTCCTCAAGTCCTTGAGTTAAGACTTGTGTCTTATTTGGGGACATGGTAGTAGTGTCATGCTCTTGTAATTCCACTGCTGTTGAGGCAGACAAAAGAGCATCCTTGGTGCTCCCACGATGGCTAGACTAGTGAGCCTCAGGTTCAGCAAGAGACCCTCTCAATTTTTTCACTTTCCCATGCTCAGATATTACTATGCATAGGAGGTAGGAAATGGCTTTGTAGGTAAAGTATCTGTAAATTAAACATGAGGATTTGCGTTTCAATCCCAAGAATGCATGTGAGGCTGGATGTGGCAGTGTGTATCGACAGTCTCAGTGTTCCTATATCAAGATGGAAGGTGGAGGGAGACAGGAGAATCTCTGAAGGGTTTCTACCTCAAACAAAGTAGAACATAAGGACTTTCAGCTCCACACCTGTGCTGTACACACATGTATCCATACTCATTCATGCACATATGCGTACACATACACAAACAACAACCAAAAGAAATTACTTTGCATAAACAACCTAGTGAATCTCACAATCCAAAGATGACAGCACAATCTGTGCAAGATCACACATGGTCTTATTTAGTTCTAAATGCTGCAGAATCCTCTGTCTTCTCCTTTTCTTTCACCTGGCACCACAGCCATCTTGGCATTTAGTGGCCTAAAGGGTTTATGCTCCAATCTGAGCTCTGAATCTTCAAACATGTTCTTTTTGATAGAAAATTCTCCAAAGCTGGGCATGGTGGCGCACGCCTGTAATCCCAGCACTTGGGGAAGCAGAGGCAGGTGGATCTTTGTGAGTCGGAGGCCAGCTTTGTCTAAAAAGTGAGTCCAGGACAGCCAGGGCTACAAAGAGAAACCCTGTGTTGAAAAACAAAAACAAAACTGTTACCTGCTTCTGGATTGCCTAGCAACCTATGATGTCGTTATGTGTCGCTGGCCAGGTGGCCACACCTGGAAAGCGTGGTTACCTTGCTCCTTAAAGGGACTGACTTGCCACGTTGGCCCTCCCTCCTTTCTCTGTCGGGGCGCCCCTCTCTTTCCTCCCACCATGTCCTGCTCTCCCGTCCCTCTCTTCATCTCCATCTAATAAACCTCTTTCATATAAAAATCTGTTGTGTGCCTGATTGTCATTATTTAATATGTCCCAACAACAAAAAAACAAAAAACAACAAATGACAAACAAAGCAAACAAACAAAAAAACTTCCACCCTCTTGCCTAATTCATGCCTTAGAGGCACTGACAGCAGGTTCTCACCCAGAGGCCACTTCCTGCCCGAGCTTTCTTTGAGGACACTCATTTCCTTTCTTCACAGCCTATGAGAGTTTGCACTAATATGGCTGCTTGTTCTTACAAATGGCAGCTCTTTCACTTGTAAACTTGACAGCATGGGCTGTTATATCTTTGCTCAGTAGCACCAAGCTTAGTGACTGGTACATTATCATAAACCCAGTATTTGTTGGCTAGATGAAGACCAAAAGGAAGGTTCTGACTAACAGAAACGGAAATCCCATATGCTACGACAGGGTTCCAAAATAATGACTAGAATTATCCACACAAACTTATTCCTTATGCTTTCACTGTTTACTGAGATTCTCTGGGCTCAAAGAATCCTTGTTTATTGGGTTTTAAAATTAATTGAACATACTGTCTCATATACGCTGTTTCAAAATTACAAAACACAAGACGGTTCCATGTACAAAACAGCCTGGAGATGTAACCTAGGGCTGACAAAAAAGCCTGGTACTATAACAGAAATTTTTGAGTGATTTCATTCTGCTTATGACCTAGGGCTGAGGAGTGCTCCTGGAGGATGAGCCAGTGCTTACCAGTGGCTGCTTTCCCCTCAGGGATTCTCTCCCCAGTGGCTTATATGCCTGGGCATTAGTGAAAGAGTATGTGACAAGTCTGAAAGACTTCTTCTTTCAGAGGAGGAAGTGCACCACACAGTCTGCAGGACATATGGCACACAGCTCCTAAAAGATGGATGGGAACATGAGCCTCTGCTGGGCCCTCCCTCTGTGGGTGAAAAGATTTGGGAAGAGCATCTCTTCTGAGCTTGGAAGTGTCCCCAATCACAGGGCTGAGGAGATCTAAAGTGAACGGGAACTCCCAGGAGACAGTCTGGCAGGCAGCATGCCTATTGTAAAGAACTCCCCAGTCATACATAAGTAAGGTTTCAAAATCTCCATGCTGATGAGTGGGTCCAGGACACTTAGAACTTACGGAATTTATTTTGTAAAGTACTGAGACTGCAGGCATCTTAGGCTTCACAGATGCAGCAGGTTTTCAGTTCAAATGAGGGCTGCTGATGTTAAAGCTGGGGAGACTGGGCCACTACAAATCAGGTGACCACAGTGAAAGAGCTTTCCAGGCTGCTCAAACATTCTTTTTTTCTGTTCCTGACCCTTCATCTGTTTTCACAGCTACTACTTTCTCAGACCTCTCCTGCTTCTCTCTCGTAGCAGATTATTAATTATCTACTTCATAAACTCTAGTAAGAATCCAGTCACTGAATTTTCCAGCCTCCTCTTCTATGGATCCAGCCACTCCAGCCCCCATCCTGCCCCTTCCCCTTGCTGGAGAAGTAGAGGTGGCCCTCTGCTGAGTGGAGCTGCTCTGAGGCTGTGCTTCAGCTTGTCTCTCTGGGCACTGTGCCATTTACCATCTTCTCACTTGCTCCTCTCCTGTATCCTGTTTCTTCTATGCTGACTTCAATTTTATGGCTACACCCCTGGACAGAGCAATTCTCACCTGCCACTGTCCTCAGGGCTTCTGCTTACTCCCCTCTTGTAACTTCTCATTGTCTTCCTTTGTCAGCAGTCTCATTCTGTGGGTTTCTTGTCACCATTTGGCTCTTTACTCCTTGTCTCTTTTGGTGTTCTGTGCTTGCAGGTCACACATGAGAGTCTCATGGCCTCCTATACACAATCTTTTGCTAATTATTGCTTCTTATTTAATTTATTCATTTGGTCATTAACTTATTCAGCTGACCTTTATTAAGATCTTGGTGTGTTGATACTCTTCTATAGCTGAGGATGGGATATGTGTCTAACCACCAGGAATGTGATAGGAAATCATTTACATACAAATTAGGTGGGTATCAATAAGTTAATGGATAAAGAAAACATTATATGGGGCTAGAGAAATGGTAAGAGCATTGGCTGCTCTTCCAAAGCTCCTAAGTTCAATTCCCTGCAACCACATGGTGGCTCACAACCACCTATAATCTGATGCCTTCTTCTGGCCTGCACACACACACATGCAGGCAAAATATGGTACAAATAATAAATAAATAAACCTTAGAAAAAACCAACCCCCCCCCACATTACATATAACTACATCTCTCTCTCTCTCTTGTTGTATTTAGTTATTAATATTTACTATTGGTTTATCTTCTAGTAACGCTGCTGTTAATCCTCAGCAGCTGTAAAAACAAATCACCACACAGAGACTGGGTTTTTAATTAACCTAGAACACAATGCTGGGCAATATTTACTCCCTCCTAAATCTCCAAGCCCTCAGTTTCCTAACATTTAGATTTCCCACATTATACTTGCTTTTTGTGAAATCTTAGGTCTGGTTCATGCTCCACGTCCTCCAAGATCTCGGTTCTGCTCCCCTCGTGCTCTGCTCTCCTCACGCTCCTCCTCCTTCTCCTCCCACCCTTTCCTATTCTCTAGCTCCTCCCCTCTTTCCTGTCCTCTGGCTCCTCCCATTGCACAACATTGTATCTAGTTGCTTTATTTGTGTCCTGTTTACACAAGAGTTCAGACAGGATGCTTATAGTTAGTATCACAATGCAATATCCAGATTGAAACCAGAGAGTTGGGGGTGGGGAAATCAGCATTTGAATTAACAAGGGTAAGGCATATACATTTTAAAAGAACATTATACCAACACTCTCTCTCTCTGTCTGTCTATCTATCTACAGACAGACAGATATCCCCATATAGACTATTATTCATAAATAATTATTGAAATAAATTATGTCACTTGCAAAGAATGGATGGAACTGGAGATCATATTAAATTAAATAAACTACACTGAGGAAGACAAGTGCTGTATGTTGTTTTTCACATACAATCTAAGTATACGGTATACATGCATAAAAATGTAAAAAAAAAGGACAAAAATTCTACTAAGAACATCTAAATGCAATTTGGTATTAGACAAACTGGTGAGTACAGTGGTTTCTCAAAGTTCTTTGTAACAAAAACGACACTGCAATGATTTGTGTTTATACTATATAACTATTTTATATTTTTCATTCAAGTTGAATAAATATCACACAGGGGATTCTGGCTGCTTAATGTTTGGAAAAGAGAAGAGCAATTAAAATTACAAATACAAGCATGTAGAAGGCCTAGAGAAGGAGGCAGGAGACTGTCAAGTATCTCTCATAACTCCCGGGAGGAGAAAGTGTCCCTGAGGACAAGGAAAGAAAAGTCAAGGGTGTCCACGTGAGGAACAGCACAGGCTGCTCATGCTGGAGTAGGCTGAGCTGGACACAAGCTTAAATGCATGGGACTTAGGTCATGTTACTCTTGGAGGGCTCCCATTTCTCGAACAAGCGTTACTAGCTTGGCTGTTTTAAAGCTTAAAGAAGTGTCTTGGGCACAGAGTGGCTGATAAATGACAATTATCATAAATACTTTATCCTTTTAACGAATATTTATAGACATTACAACATGTCATATTTTCAATCTTTTGTGAATAACAAGTGATGTGAAAGATCTTTAAGAAAGTATAAGCACAGATTTATTCAGCTATAAAAAGCAATGAAATTCCAATAAATGCTATAACATAAATAAGCCTTAAGACAACATTCTCAGCAAAATCAACCAGGCACTAAGCACAAAGACTTCATAATTCTCCTTATCTGAGATTCTTAGAGCAGACAAAGTCATAGAGATGGAACGTAGAATAGAGGCCAGCAGGGTAGGGAGGAGGAAGATTACAGTTCTTGTTTGGAATGGTGAAGAGCTTTGAAATTAGGTATCACTGCTATGGCTTGGATATAAAAGGGCTGCAAAGGCTCATGTGGTGAAGGCTTGGCCTCCAGCTAATAATGCTATTGAAGTGAGTGGATCTCAAGGGTGCTAACTTCATCAATGCGGCAGCTATTCTTAGTTCATAGCTGAATGAGTATATTATTAAGAATTGAGTTTTAGCTGAATGAAGATAACTGGAGGCATTTCATAGAGAGACGCATTTTGTTCTGGTCTCTCTGTTTTCTCCTCATTGCTTGTTTGCACTCCTAGGTGAGAGGCTTTCCTCTCCATTTTCTGGCAACCTGATTCTCCCTTGTCACTGGCCGAAGAATAACAGAGCTAGCCAAAGCAAACAGCTCTGAAACCATAAGCCAAAGTAAATCTTTTCCGTTTAAACTGATTTTCTCATAGTGAAGAAAACTGGTGAACACAATGATGGCAATTTTACAACACTGTAAATGTATTTAAATTTAAGAATATCAGAAAAGAAGTGCTAGGTTCAAGTGTCATTTTCAATAAGAAATAATACCAGGAACACTTAGGGTAAGTGCTGAAACCTAAAAACATATGGAGTTTTTATAGATTACTAGCATAAATATACATATTTAAAAATTGGCATGCTTTCCAAAGAAGGTAAAGTTAATCAAGAGTTAATACTATGACCATCCTGAAATCTGGACAGCTAAATCTTATATGTAAAGAAGTCTATAATTTTATTTTACTTTGACATTTTAGATCTGAGATGGATTCATTTTACCAAGTGCTTCTCTCACATTTCTGGTGTTTATAAATATCCTCATTTTTTTACTTTCTCTCTCTCTCTCTCTCTCTCTCTCTCTCTGTATCTACATATGCCAGGGCATATGTGTGGAGGTCAGAGATTCCTGTGGGAGGTGGTTTTCTCTTTCTCCCAAGTGTGTCCTAGAAATTAATTACACTAAGGTTGTCTGGCTCAGCAGCAAGCACTTTTACATATTGAGCCATCTTGTCAGTCTAAAAAATTGAGTATTTAGAAATCTGAGTTCAATATCCATGACCCATATGGAGGAAGGAGAAAAATTATTCTCATAGGTTGTCCTTTGACCTTTACATGTATACCAGGATACATGCATGCTCACACACATATACATAAATAATACACATGAAAGGAAGGAAGGAAAAGAGAAAAAGAAAGAAGGAAGGAGGGAAGGAAGAAAGGAAGGAAGCCAGCCAGCCAGCAAACAGGCTGTGTCTAGAATAAACAACCACTGACCTGTGTTCCTTGACTATTGATGTCAACGGCATCACTCCACTCTGTTGTCATCTCTTCCATCAGTTCCACTTTTAGAAGGAGGCTGGGAAGCAAGTCTCTGGTCTTGCAATCTGGGTAACCGATAATCTGGTGATATAGTTCATGATGAATTGAACTCTCAGAAGGAATTTTTTTGCAATAAACCTCAAACTTTGGAATATCTGAAAAGTTAAAAAAAAAGAGGCGCATGCAGATCTTGGTTTTAAGGACAAAGTCAAAGAGTAAGGTACTCTTCATAGGCCCACAGGTCTCTTCTAAAGCCCCCCCCCCCCCCCCATGAATCTGCGTCTCCTGTGGTTTCCCTTCAGGGCTGTGAGGCATACCTCTGATGTTCTCCTTTATGAGCACTGTTACTGGACATCTGTTGTGGAAAATGACACGAGGACTTGGGTCTTCTGAGAGGGTTAAATAGGTGACTCCAAAGTGTTCTTGATACGTCAGTGCTATTGCCCTGGAACAGACCAGCAACAGCATGGTTTCAGGGGCACACAGGCTCTCTGTGGTTCATGTTTACTTGAATGTGCAGTATTACAAACTCTGGAGTGCCTCTTTTCTAATTCAGAGGTTATGTTTTCCAAAAAAGTAGCCTATTCCTCACTTACTAGCTGATGTACATGAACATAGGTTAATTAATTTCAGAGCAGTAGTAATATGCACTTACTCTCAAATACTCAAAAACGTGAAAAATGATTTTAAATTAAAGCCTCCACTATCACCAACTTGCTGGCCTTGTGGTAACCTTGCTACTGGCCCTTTTCCTCAGTGCTGTAGGCTTTAAGCTCTTCAAGTGTTATACTTTCTTCCTCTCCAAAGAATTTGGTAAAGAAAGCACTGACCCATGTTTAACTTTTTTCTTTTTCAGAAATTTCTAGGATTTGTGTGTCTGCTCTATTTTTCATTCTACAGGTAGGCAATTGATTACATGTGCAGTGAACTTGCACAAAGTGACCACCCTTCACTCCTGCTACTGAAAGAACCAGGCCTGACCACCCCACCCAAAAGCCACCACTCCCAGGAACTAGGGCCTAGGTCACCAATTCCAGAAAGAAGACAATGGAGTCCCCTACTCAAGGAATAGCCTAGAGAAAACCCAGTAATGTTTAACCATCACCCCTAGCAACGGCTAATCAGTGAAGACCTGAAATTTATCCAGGTGTTCTTTACAATAGGACGAGTGAAACAATTGCGGTTTGGCTTAGCCTTCCAGGCAGACAATTTCCTCTGAACACCTGATATTTGCTAAATGTCAATCAATCATAAAACTGTCTAGCTGGAATTGCCCAATTTACCTTGCTGTAAACCTAAATAAAAACCCTCCTCTCCCTGAAGATTGGCACTCCACATTCAACCGCTGCATAGGTGAGGGTATGGGCCTAGCTCGAGCTTATAATAAAAAGACCTTACGGGGTTTGAATCAGAATTGGCTCCTTTGTGGTCTTTGGGGGTCTGCAAGACTTGGGCATAACACTATTAGAGCAAAGTTGGGATGCTTTCCTTGTAAGCGGCTGCACAGGTACTGACAGCATGCTACCATGAAGAAAATCTCCCAGTGTCCTACAGAACTATCAAATGGTATTTATGTCTAAACAGGAAGAAAAATTCTGATGACCTGTACTGATGATAAAAATTAAAGAAATTAGGTAATCTCACCTCTTAGTTTGTGGTGACTAAAAGGGGTCAGTGTTGCAGCAACAAATCCTCATTTGCCACAGAGCCCTCCCTAATACTGTCCCTTGTCTGGAATGACAGTTGTTTACTAGTATTTCGTGAAAATGCAGCCACAATGCCACCAAATGTCTACTGCTGGACTGAGGTAGAAAAGGTGAGGAGATGAGAACTGAAAGCACATTTCTTTTCAGAGTTAAATCCTCACATAGACAAGGAAGCTGTTTTCAGTTTCATTTTGAAGGGGCTATGCAAGCCAGCCTCAGACAACTTCCTTTCAATAGCCATTAAAGCTGAGGCCAGGAGTATAGGATCTTACTTTTAACTTGTTTACTTTAATATTTACACATAACAGTAATTTATACTATCAGTCTTTGAAAATTTAAACCTTTCTATGTGTTTTGTTAAAAGTTTTGACTTTTAAAAATAATCCACAAACCATTCAATAGCACTCAACATGCTTAACATTATCTAAAGTCAAATATAAAAGCAACCATCCTTACAGGTCTGAGGGTGAAAATGCTGTTCAGTTAGGGTCTTGTGACATGAAAGAAGAAAAGATGTGTAGAGAGAACAGGGCCTGATCATTATGGAGACTTCAGTTAAGCTATAATCTTTAAAATGATTATTAAAAAGAATCTCTGCATATATCAAAACACTTGGGATCTTAAATCTCAGAGTATATAAATCAGGACCTTGAGGAGAAGGCACCTCTTACAACGTCACAGCATGTTTTCTTTTATGGTTGTATGCACCATAAGTAAGCAGTTCTTGACAGCAGCAGGAAAGACACTGATACCAAACAACCACAAGACAGAAGTCAGAATGCGCAAGCCATTATATGTTTCTGGTCCAATCCTGTGGTTGCTGTTTGCATAATTGTTGATCTGCAATTGGAACAGCTTGCACGCAGGAACAACCACAGCACGGAATATTCCTTGGCTTGTGTTTATCTACATTATTATCTCTCTAAATGTCTTTTGTGAAAAATTGCATTTTGAAGTAAGAGTAAAATATTAGAAAAGAGTAAGAACAAAAGACAAGGATGTCTTTCTTGTTTTCATTACCACACATACTGCCACTCTATGGCACAGCACCACTCCGCAGACCCCTGCAGCAGAAGGTGCAAAGTGGAAAAATCACCTCATCGGGCAACCTGCTTGTGATCATGACCTTTGTTCAACTGTATCCAATGTCTAAAGGTCATTAAAGATGAAAGAAAAACTAGAATTACATATGGAACACTGCTATTCTGTCTCTCCTGGTTTGTTGATGAGCAGCAACTATGACAAGCAAAAAAGCATTCACGTTTGGGTAAAATACCTGGTGCAGAATCCATTTTCCCTCAAGGTTCCAAAGGGCACTGCTACACTCTGTCTGGGAAACTCTCGCCTAATGACGGCTGGCAGGCTCCAGCTCTGAGAGCTGTCGGCACCTGGCGTAGGAGAAAAGCCCAGCAGTATCTGTTTCTGAAGCATGGCTGTGTCTGGTATGGATGGTCCCACATCAGGCAGGAAGTCCCAGCAAGGCACGGAGCTGGATTTCACAGCAGTATGCTCTCCCCCTGGGCAAATGCTAAAAGTAGCACTGTCTGGAACATGAAAATGCTGCAAAGACAACACAGAGGGAGCATGTTCACTACAGCAGCACAGAGAAGCATGTCTTCTAAGAAACCATGACCATGTTTTCACAAAGTGTTCAAGACGGGAGCATAGAGGTATCCCTGTGGTCTGTCTACACCCAAAGGACTAATGTGACAGGGACAGCTTTGAAGGGCCTCTCAGGCATAAAACAAAACAAAACAAAACAAAAAAACATGATGGTGCCAGGCTGACCTAAAAGGCAGCACCAAGTTTTCACTGTTCCCCAGGCATTGCAAAAGTGTTGATGGCTTGGGGAGGAAGTTGTATTGGATAGGTGGAATCTTAAGAAAAGAATCTGCATGTGATTCAGGACAAGAAGCTGGGGCTCAGAAGACAAAGCATGAGGCTCACTGGCAGGAGGGACATGCTCTGACTCCAGCCTTCAAATGGACTTTCACCATTTCTGAGATTAGGGCTTCTTGATTTCAATATTTATTAATATGTTTATTTGGTGTGTTTGTGTACATACATGTACACACACCTTTGTGTGTGTACATGTATGTACACACAAAGGTCAGAGAACAACTTGCTAGGGTTGGTTCTCTCTGCTGCATGGGTTCTACAGAACGAAGCCAGGCTGTTGGGGTTAGCAGCAGGTACTGAGCCATCTCAGCAGTGCCTTAAGCCTCTGAATTTTCGACTTAAAAAAAAAAATCCCCTACTGTCTCATAGTCTCCCAGAATGGCTAGGAACTACCATATCTCAAAAAAGAGTCAGAGGCAGGGTCAGAGCTGAAAGGGGGATACTGTTCTGCTGCAGGGAGGAATCAGGTCTCCACTGCTCTCTTGGAAGCTGTGCCAAATCAGGGCAACACAATGAAATTCTATTGTTCAAACAGATTGTTTTATTGTATTTTGTAAATACACAATGCATTGTAAGGTAAAAGGAAGGCATTCACCCTATCCAATCAGTTGAAAATAACTTTAGGAGAAAGGGACGATACTGAACACAGACTAAAGAATGACAATCATCTAGACAGTTTCAACAGCAAGGAGTTATGCCACGTTGTTTTGAAAAACAATTATCGTTACCTTCTTAAAATATCAATGTTTTTGTTAATTGTACAAAGAGCCATGTCAAAAGTTCTGAATATTCTTGGATGTATTTTCTGCACATGCTGCCACTATAAGATATTAAGAAAATAAACTGGCCCATGGTCGCTGTCCTCAGGGCCATGGCTCAGCTCAGGCACCAGCCTTCACGCAGGAGCCACTGCTGTGTTAATAGGGTGTGGGGCGACACTGCTGGGGAGAGCTGGGTGAGCACTTTCCAGGGCTGCTGTAGCCAGCAGCTCTGCTCACTTGTCCCCATGGCAACTTGCCATCTAGTTTTAAATCCAACACAAATAAGATTTCTATATTCAATGTTAGCATTTTCTTTGCCCCAATCTAAAAGAAGGTTGACATTGTGAGGTGAGTCTGTGATAGTGAAGTGATAGAAAGAGAAAGAAACATGTTATTGATTGCTTACCTCCTTTCCAGAGTATGGGTTGGAGATAGACAATTGTGGTTTATATGATATTTGATATGGTGTATTATTGATTACTGTTGTCTTATCTTCAATTTGAATAACCTGTATGCCATGCTGCACCATGGAGGAGATGCAGAACTGACACAGCTGTGGGGTAAACAGAAAAGATGGCAGATTTTATACCAAAGGAACACATGTGAAGACTTCTTGACTATTCTTTTGTTTGTTTTATGACAGTCTTTACTACTGCTCATAGCAGCCCCAATTTCTGGATCCCTGTGTCTCTTTATCTCTCAAGTGCTGGGATTTCAGGTGTGAGCCACTACACGTGGCCTCAACTATTTTTTCTTTTAAATTAATTTATTTTATTTTATGCACATTGGTGTTTTGCCTCCATGTATGTCTAGAGGGTGTCGGGTCCCCTGCAACTAGAGTTAGAGAGAGTTGTGAGCTGCTAGGAACTGAATTCAGGCCCTCTGGAAGAAGAACAGTCAATGCTCTCAACCACTGAGCCATCTCTCCAGCTCCGTGGCCTCAACTGTTCTTAAAGTAATGTTTTATATATGAATTTGCATGGGACAGTACCAATTGTACTGGTTTTTTTTTTTTTTTTTCAAATACTTAACAACACTCCTTTTTTTGGTCTCAAAAATGTGTTAGCCAACCAATGGGGCAGTATTTCCAATAGGGCCCTTTAGCAAACCAATTACTGCTGCTGCTATCACATAGTGAAAGAAATGATCTGTTTTCAGATTATTTTATAAATTTTACAAATCACTTATATGTAAACAAATACCACACGCCTTATTCAACAGGTTCTCACCCAGCATTCCTCCTCCTCAGGTTCAGTCTAGCAGTAAGCCACAGAACACCTTGCTTGCATCAAGGAGAGTTTAGAGAACTTTCATATAAAAGATGGCAATGAAGGAAAAAATACTGACCATCATGTAATGCTACACTGTGCTTCTGATGTGTTTTAAGTATTTAATACATATTAAATTTGCAATTCCTCATAACCCCTACAAAAAGTAGTAAATATCCTCTCCACAGTACACAAGAGGAAAGCAACTTGCCCAGGACACAGGAGAAAAAGAGACCCATGTGGCCGAGCTTTACGGCTCTGTTCTCTCCCATGACGGGTGTGCTTTCATTGCCTTGTAGCGTTTCTGGTGAACAGCTGAAGCTGCCACCTGCCTGAAGGTTCTCTTGTACTACGCAGTATCCTCAGAACAGCAGTTCTCAAGGGATGTTGTGAGCTCTGTGGGCTATCTACTCCTGGAGTCCCAAGGTCAAAACCACTTTTACAGTACTAATAAGGTGCTATTTGTCTTTGTTCTCTAGCTTCTTCATGCATATACACTGGCGTTTCATAGAGGCAATGTGATGCCACTTTCTTTTGACCAGTGGAATATATTTAAGTCCCTATATTTTAAAAAACGTTATAGTTTTTTTCTAATATGATAAAAATTGATAGAACCCAATATTTTTTAAGAGTATAAAGGAGTCCTGAGACTAAAATGTTTAAGAATTAATACAAAAGAATAGTTACATCAACATATTTTTCTGTAGTTTGTCCTTTCTTTTCTTGTTTCCTTCCCCTTCCTTCTTTCCCATTTCTTCTTTTCCTTCTTCCATTTGCCTCACAGACATTTACTCAGCACATGCTGTGACCATTTTAAGGTGCTACAGTATTGGGTGTTTGACAATACAGTATCTCTCCCAGATTCTGATGGTAGTTCTCAGCTCACACTCTTTAGTTTCCTGTGAGTGGAATGGCTCTTGGCCACTTCCAGCCACTATAGCACTTTGGTCAGCAGTGGCAATATGTGCAAATCTTTGAGGAGAGGAACACCAGTGTTAAATATTGACAAAGATGGACCTCTATAAAGTGACTAAATGTTCCTAACTTTTCTCAAAAGGCTCTTTTAACAATGCTCAATAGAAATCTAACTTCTCCCTGAAGAGAAAGGTCATTGGGCATTCTATTTCTCCTCTATTTTCTCTCTGAAGAAGGCTAAGGCAATGATGACACAGGCACAGCATGAGTCTCCCCATGTCACACAGGTTCTCTGACAAGTCTGAGTCTCCGATGTGATTCTGAATTACTCAGCTAATTGGTTTGCACAGGTTTTAGGTTTATGCTGAAAATCACACAACATTTGTGTCTTACCAACTATGTTCCTGGTATCCATAGTTCTAAAAGCGTGGAGCAGACCTACCCCTGCTACCTGTAACTCTTTCAGTATCCCATCTTTGGAATAATGTATCTCCCAACCCTCCCCTGTTGATGATCAACACAGAGACCCACCACTGGTCAAGGTACTTCTTATAACAATAATTACTTTTTATAACAATGCTAAGCTCTGAAGGGAAAGTATGCACTGCATACTCCCAGGGTTCACAGGGTTGCTTAGAGTGTAAGAGCTGGAGGCAGTGGATGAGACAAAGAAACCAGGTTATCTAGACACTGTGGGGTAGCTGTACTCACACCTGTGCTCAGAGCAGCTGCCACAGCACACACAAGGTCACATAAGATCTGTGCAAGCCGCAGACCAAATTCCAGTATGGAGATGGGAGTTGGTTATGGAATCCCATCCCTAGCAGTAGAACTCTTGTCAACTGTTAGTTGCTGGGAGATGGGGGTGGGGGAGGAGGCTGCCCCATGTGAGCCAGCCTGAACCCAGTGGAAGATCACACATTAAATGATATTTAGGCAGCAGAAGTTGATCTTGATTTTTTTTTTAAAGGACACAAAGATGGATGGGTAGAGAGAAGGGGCCAGTGAATCTGGGAAGAACTGGGGAAGAAAAGTGAATACCATCAAACATGTTACATGAAATTCTCAAAAAACTAATAAATTTTTTTACAATCATGCATTGAAGACAATAATCACTTTTTACAACATTAATTCCATAAGAAAATGGAATAAGTCCTCTCATTTTGGTCAGGATAGCCTTTCCAGAAAGAAAGCCACTTCTCGAAGTGGTAGATACCCTACTTCCTGTTCTGAAGGAGAAGGCCAAATACAGTCTGTGAATATTTGGGAATAAGTCCACTCCCCATATTATAAATCAAATGACATTATAAATCAAATGAGTGTTCTGAAATGGAGCAGTTACTGGATAAATTAGGGAACTCAGATCTTATCACTAGTAAAGAGAAAAAAAAATTCCACTGTGAAACTGAGGTCTATGGAAGAAAACAAGTGTTTCACTATTATAAATTATTTAGAATAAGTAACAGCAGAAAGGGGAGGCAGCTATACTTGAAACACTCTACAAAAGCAGCATATTATCTCCCTGCACCAGATCCATGGGGACCTTACCTTCTGATGTCCTGGGAAAGCACCGAGTCTGATTTCAGCATCAATAAATGCTTCTTCATCCAGTGTCACGACCTCACCATTACTGTCATCTTTCCACTTAGGAGATGTCAGATTATGGACCAGTTTAATTGCTACTGACTTGTGCACAGTGTTTGTATTTGCCCAGTAAATTCCAATTTGAAAAGCTTCCTGGAAAAATAATGCCTCAGTTCTTAACTCTTCCATATCTTCAGGATTTAAAGACATATTATACAATAGATATATTAAGGCAACCAAATAGTCACCCTGTACTTTAAAACAAAATAATGACAAGATGTATTTTATTTTGGTTTCCAATATTCTTTTTTGATTCACAATGACATTTAAGTTCCGAGAAGGGAGGAACCAAACTCAAGCTGTGATGACCTATGACTTCCAAAGACTTAAAAACTGGAAGGTTCATCTCATTCTACATCAGCATAGTATGTACCATTGGTCCATGCAGGCCACATTCCAATTCCATAAGGTGACAGCATCCTCTTACTTCAAGAAATAAGAAAAATACCATTGAATAAAGATTTTATAAACTGGAAATCAAAAGGAAGGTTCTGAAATTGTTCTCTACTAGGAAATATATTTTTAAAGATTTTCTTATAAATTTCTTCTTCAAATGGATTAGCACTATAAAGTCAGTCCTCTGGTGTCATAATGTGAATTTTTATTTTATAGTTAGGATTTTTCTACCCTGTGACATGAGTGATTTTATGATGTTATAATCAACACGTGACATTCACAATTATGGACATCCAAGTGCAGTCACAAAGGAGAAGGTGCCATGTTAGGTAATGGGTTAATGTTCAGAACAGCTTCTGTGCTTGTCAAATATCTTGTATACAATGGGAATGTAACTAGTATGTGTTATCAGATGTAATGATAATTCAGCCATGAGTAGTACTGCTGATGAGGAAAAACACATCTGAAAAATATTTAAATATCAAAGAACATTCCATATCCCTTATGTATGCACCTACCAGGTCAGTTTTCCATAAGGAATCCATCCTGTTAAGATGTAAGTATAATCCTAGAATAAAATCTCCTTATTGAGAGAAAAGAATATGTTAGTTTTAAGTTCTATTACCTGAAAATTAGGAGGAATGATGACTTTGCCAGCAGGAACCTGTAGAACAATCTTCTCTCCCTCAAACAGCCAGAGGTCCCACTTAGACTGATTGATAAGCAAGGCCCAGGGTAGCAGTTCTATCAACAGGGTTCTCACATATGGTTTCCAGATTGACAGCTTCACTCGCATTGGACTATCCCACTGATTCAGCTGTTCATTCCTGTTCCAAATAACACATCCAAGTGACTCACTGAAATATGATGAGTTCAGGATTTATGAAGCATGTTTAAGCATTCCAGACACACAATGCTCCCGAAGGGTACTGTTGCATACCAGAGTTACCCAGGGTTGCATTTGGAAGCAGGAGAAAGCAGCTTTTCATTTAATGATGCTTTGCCTTATGAGTAAAAATATCCATAAAACTAAACCAATTAGATGATATCAGAATCTGATGCATGCAAATGCTCTGCTCCACAGCATTTACTGTATCTAGCATAATGGTTAATCAAGCTATAAACTTGACGGCACTGAGAAGAACATATGAGATTCCTAGCAAAACACACCTCTGGGTTGATGAAGATACTTCAAGAGAGGATTAATTCTGAATATGAGCAGCACCATCCAATAGGTTGGGGCTGAGAAGGAATACAAATAAGAGAGAGAAAGCTAAGAATAAAGACATTCTCCTCTTGCATTTTGGCTGCCATGATGGGAACTACAGATGCTCCCATCATGCTCTGTGATGCCCTCCCTGCCATTAAGGGCTGAAACTCCTGAAACTGAGACAAAATAAGCCTTTCCTTCTGTAAGGTGTTTTACTCATGCATCTTATCACAGCAACAAAAAGCATGAATAACACAGCTAGTATTTTGTGAATGGCTTCTTTTTATGTTTAGAAGTTCATCTTATCACAGCAACAAAAAGCATGAATAACACAGCTAGTATTTTGTGAATGGCTTCTTTTTATGTTTAGAAGTACATGTAGTAAGTTAATGAATGATGTTACCTGTCAGAATCTTTCTTATTGTAAGGCCAAATGGGTTTGTGGGACGTTTCTGGTGCATAGAACTCATCAAGCATCTCATTAACTGTGCCTCCAGGTTGTATCTTAGCGGTTATTTGCTTAATAAGGGCTGTTGATATGGGAACAGCACAATCTGAAGGATCATACTCTTCTCTAGAAAATGAAAAGAAAAAACACTTAAAGATTTTTAAGTGATCTATAATTTGCTGAGAAAAATACAAGAACAAATATAGTTAGATCGATATTGTTTTGTGGGATGTTCTCTCCTTTTTTTTTGGTGCGGAGGGGTGTAGAATTAGAGATTTATGACAATAGTTTTGGATGATCTGGGCCCTGGCTCTTCCTCCCACCTGCCCATGCTTGGGTGAGATCGCTAATCATCCATCCGCCTTTCTCTATAGAAATGTGTCAACAAATCTAAATTAAATTGTATTTTTATGGTTCCACTTTATTATTTATAAGCTTAATGAAAAAGGCCAAATTCTATCTAAACCCATGGATGAGAATAGGAGTTGAGGCAGAGTAGTTTTACAGTAATATTCTTCTCAGACAAGAATATAAGTGAGAATGCATCATGGTCCCACAACAGCTCAAGGCGGCTTTTTGGCTAAATGTCTTTGGAAAATCCATTTTGCTCGTACCGTGCTTGGAATGTCAGGTGATGTGCAAGGTCAGGTTCTACGTTCTGCAGTGGATTTTCCTGCCCTTTTCCAGGAATAACCTGTGTTTCGTTCAAACCTAGACTTCTTTTTTCCAAATGTATGATAACAGGGTCTGGAAGATGACTTCTCATGATAAAAAGAGGGCTGAACACGATCTATAAAAATAAAAGGACAGAACAACTTTCATATTTGCTTTGTTGAAGTATTCCAGCTGTTTGTGGCTAAAACAAACTTGTAATAAATCTCTTCCTTGGGTCACTCTGACCTTATTTATTTGAGAATAAGAAAGGTCAGAGTTGTACACTATATTTAAGGATTGGGAAAGCACTCACCATTCGCTGTTGAACTTGAGAGTTGGGTTCTAAAGTCAAAACTGTGCACCATACATAAATAATGGAACTGTTTGAAGTAGGCACCTGCACATGAGATAGCAAAGGCCTTTTAAGATCCTAACCAGCCTGATAAGCAAAATAAGACACAGAGTATCTGTTTAGATGACAAAATAAGTTTACAGTTATAGAAAAAGCCACTAAAACAAGCAGACTTTATAATGCAGATAAAATGTAGCAGACAAAAGGGACCCTTTCCAAAACAGGGAAGGAATCTGTACATGGGGAGTGATGCAAGAATGGAGACATCCTTTTTTTTTTTTTTAAGTGGATGAAAGTGATGGAGGTAAAGATTCAGACAGAGATTATAAAAAGACCTTCATGTGGGAGGTCACGACCATAGTCCCATCAGCCTCAGGTCATCGGCATCTGGGAAGGGTTGAGGTAGGGAGCATACCGCCTGAAGCACCAGCCAGGTTTTCTATGCTTTTTCAGATTTCACTTTCTGCACAGACCAATTTTAATTTTATTAAAAAGCCAGGCCTACATCAACTAAATGTACACTGAAAACATTCTGTTTTTAAAGCCATTCTAGTCTAGATGTTAGTACCTCTCATACCTGGATGACAATGCTATATTCAGAGGTTTTGGGTTCCAGGCATACATCTCTTGACCAGTCTTCATCTCCTTCGGCCTTCACACACAACTCTGTCAGTTCACTGTTCTCTAATATGTATGAAGGCAGTTTCTGTTTGGCTGGGAGGCAATCAAAGTGTTCTCGAACTACAGCTTGTCCATCTTGACCAATGTAATGCTGAACAACTTTCAGTTCTATGCTCTGAGACAAATAACTACAGATGATCTGTCTTCCACAGATGATAATCTAAAAGATGATATATAAATACACAAAAGATTCATCAACTTGGATGTCATTAACCTGAAATAGGAAATATTAAATATTCAGGGAGATACACTGATGGTCATTACAAATTAAGTTTAGTTAAACAGGGAAAGAAGTCTTTAAATAAGAAATAAATTTTGTTCTGATCACAGAGTTGATGATATTTAAAGAGGAGACACACAGACAGGGAACCCCTGAACAGCTAGAAGGAGAGAGGAGGTTGAAAGAGATGACTGGGCTAAAACTTGAGAAATCAAAGTTGTGAAAGCATGGCAGTGCATAGCTCACTTGGCAGACAGGTGGAAGCTCAGACCTACCCACTACCATACGCAGACTCAGAGTGAGAGGGCAGAGAAGAGGGCTGGATAAGGGGGACAGGGTATGCTTGGAACCTGAAGGAAGTACTTTTGTCATGTCTTGACAGGTGACTGGCTAGGAAGTATGCTTAGGACTGACAACTGATACAGCAACTGAGAAGCATGGGAAGTGAAAGCAGGCCCCGAGCCCTGGTAATAGGAGGAGCTGCCCACTATCAATGTGTTCCCTGAGGCTGCTTCCAAGACCTTATCTGCTTCCAAGATCTCATCTGCTAAAAGATCTTACTGGAGACTAATATAAAGGAGCTTTGATTGAAAAACAGAATTATATTTTGTTTTTCTCCATTGTAGAACTATACAACTTTACACATAGACAGTTCCATTAAACCTGGATTAGTTAATTTTGCAGCCAGCTAAGAATATAGGCCATAGGAGGCAGTAGGAAATATTTCTTAATTTGACTGAAACTGGAAAGACACTGCAAAATTTACTCTTACACAGTTAATATTTTTAGAAAGCAAATTATTCTGTAATATAAATATTTACCATATCTAAGGAAAACAGGGCTTTCTTCTTTTTGTAGTGTTAGAGATTGAACCGTGGGTTTTACATATCCTATGCCAGTGCACTATCACTGTGCTATAACCCCAGAACCTAATATAATATTTGTACAAACTATATTGGTTATTTGTGATATTTTTCAGATTATAAAATAGTATCAGTTACTAACATATGTTATTATTATAGGTCTAAGCGTATGAAAACTGATTTTAATGTTATCAACTTGACCATGGACTACCTAGGCATTTAGTCAAATGTTATTTATTCTGGACATTTCTAGATGACATTACCACATGAACAGGCAGGCTGAATAGAGCAGGCTGTCCCTCTTTCAATGTTAAGGCATTATCTAGTCAATTTTGCTGACTGAACAGGGACATTGATAACTTCTAGCTTTTTCATTCAAGTGGAAATATTTGTTAGCTTTGGGAAGCTGGGTTTTGAGAACTTCAGGGTCAGACTGAAATTGCACATTGACTTTTCAACTTGCTCATACAGATATTTGGGACTTTTGTTTCCATAACGGTAAGAACTGATTTATAAAGAATCAACCAACCAACCAACCAACCAACCATGCCAGAGAACTCTAACTCAATAAAAATCATTTTCATAAATTAACCAATTATTTGTTTGTTTGCTTATGGTTTTTGGAGACAAGGTTTCTCTGTGTAATTCTAACTGTCCTGGAACTCTCTCTGTAGACCAGGTTGGCTTCAAAATCACTCCACCTGCTTCTGCCTCCTAAGTGCTGGATTTAAAGGCATGTGCCACCATCAACCAACTAACCACTTAATTCTTATAAAGTAGGTACTGGCATGATTCTTCTTCACAAGAAGAAAACGCAGGTATGCAGAGACTGAGTAGCTTGTCAGGTGGCTCCCACAGAGTCTATCCCATAATATCCCATAATCAGAGTCTATCCCATAATCTAAATTGATGATAACCCCAATAAGGGCATGTCTTAAAAAAACTAATATCTACTCATCAATATAGATTGTACAAGAAAGAACATAACACAAACTTGACAAGTACCATTGATTCCCTTCTCATCTCAGCAGCTTTTCTTTTTTTTCCCTTGCTGTTAAACACTTTGAGTTGGTTTAGGTATCAGAGATTAGACAGGTACCTCCCTTGACCCTCAGCTGTACTGCAGGCTGTATAAAGTTAACTCCTTTCTCCTGTTGCCAATGCCTAGGATGAACATGTAATTGTGTTTTTAATATGAAGATTTCCTCAATGGTAAGAGAGATAATCCAGAGTCCCCTTGCATCTGTCACAGAGTCTTATAAGAGCATATGCAGAAATTTTGTAGCCATCTTCAGACTAGGAAGTCAAATACGGGAAGAAGCAGGGAAGTAGATACAACACTGAGACACCGAGTTAACTAACACTGGCTTGCTTTCTTTCTTCTGATGAGGAACAAAATATAAAGTAACAGGATCTATCTCATCACCTTGCTATGAAGATTAAAAAGCATAATTTATAACATCAAGGTGTAAGTAACCTTGAAAGTCAATACAGTTCCTATGACATTAATATCATATTGTGATCATGATTTCACTCAGGTGTTCTGGAAGAGGAACTGCCTTTTACTTGGCAGGACATGTTCTTAAGTGCTGAATGAATAACTGTACTTACTTGTAAGATAACAATTTTATAAGAACAAACCTCATAGAATGAGACACGAAATATTAAATGATCTTTCTCTAGTACCTTGCATTATTTGAATACAAGGATTTGGCATTTTATTCAGTGCCTGTATAAGTTTGTGGATCATATGTATGCAGGAACCTTTGAAGGCTGGAGGGCTTTGGATCCCCTGAAATGGAAGTTATTAAGCACTTTTAAGCACTGGGACATCTCTCAAACCCCTAGCATTTTCATAAACATTTGTGCACAATTTCTTTAGGAGCACATCTGTAAAACCAGATGCTCTTCACTTTTACATTTCCCCTAGATACATGAGCCATTATAATCTTTTAGAACTAAGCTTTCACAAAAACAAACCATAAAACTCAACCATGAGTCCTAAATGAGTGGGCAAGCTTCTCTTTAACATATGCTAGGGATTACCAGGCACTCAGGTACTAAGTCTTTTGATATCATAGTAGCGCCTAGCTCTAAATAACAGTTGAAAACTCCAAGGCAGTATCTAACTGCCTTATTCTTAATCTATCCAGGCCTGGCAATATGTATGCAAGAAGCTTACTTCACAACCTTTGCAGCCCAGGAGCTCTAGGAGACAATTTGGCTCTCTCACAGAAACCACAACATCTTTGCAACCATCTGGGACTCACTTCTTTTAAAGACAAAGATCCTCTTGGTGGGTTTTTATAGTTTCACTTTAAAGTTAAAAAGCCTGTTAAATAGGCTTTCAAACTTGATAAAAGGGAATATTCTTAAAAATGGCCAGGAAGGGAAGACTACTTGGATAAAGGAAAATCCAAAATGGCCACTCACTGGAAGGGTGCTCCTTCAGAGAACTGGGTTCAGGGAAGCTCTGTCTGCTTCTCTTCAAATTGGCCAACCTACAGTGCCTTTATTTTGCAAATTATGGTCAGAATTTCAAGATTAATTTATCAGTTGAAGACAGCTACTTAGGGTTTCTCTTTAACACACATTTCTAGGTTTCTCAATAATTCCTCTCTTTTCCCAAGGCCACAAAGATGTGTACTGAAGATTTCTACATATGATTTTACTTAGCAGGTTTCAGAGCTCATATTAGATCCGTGCCAAGAAGAACAGTGATATGAAAGAGTAAGTCCAGAGTGCCAGATGCACTGGAAATGATATCTTAACTGTGATTAAAAGTGTATGTACAGAGATGGAGGAATACATGAGTTTGAGCTTTTAGACTGGTAAGGAGATTCTTCAGTGAGGAGACAGAAACACAGAAGCAATGTGGGTACATGAGTAGTTGCATAACACACAAAGATGCTGGCAAACTGTGTACACGGCAGTTAGTATTTGATCAGAAGAAATGATAATAGAAAGGTAGACCAAAGTATCAGAGTTAAAGAGCGTTCTGGCTACCTCTCCACTGTCCAAGGGTATATCAACGTGTCTAAAGCTTACCAGGGATCCCAAAGCCTCGACCTGCACCCCAAACCTCACTAATTAGTCAGCTGTTGTTTATTGACAACTTCTAAGTCTAGTTGGGAGAGAAGGAAAGAGGCCAAGACAAAAAGGAGGCAAAGTTCCCTGGAATCTTGGTTACTTCCTTTCTTCCTAACTTTATCAACTGAAAAAATTGTATATTTTGGATGTCCCATAACACCATCAGATCTGACACTAAATTGTCATGGTTACAGAAATGAAATCTAATTTAAAAAGTATTTCAAATATTACTTGTATGTATGAGTGGGAAGCCCAGAGGAAAGAAGGAAAACATTGATAAGATTTTAGAAACTCCTTTTTTTTTTTCTTTTCTTTTTTTGATATTTGGTATATGGTTGCAACCTGGGCTTCGGAGACTCTCCCTGTCTATGCTGAAATGTTTTTCTTTTCTCTTATTTATTTATTTTTAAATATACTTCTTCCATGTCCTGTCTTTCAAATTGGTAGCCCTTTTTTTCTTTATTATGTATATGCATATATGCAAATATACTAATACATCCTGCTGTGTATGGTTTTGTTGTTTATGCCTTCTACTATTTTTAAGGTGCTGTATATAGAGGCAGCTTGCAGAGTTCTCACAGTAAGTTGTGTGGTGGTTGGGTATGTCTCACAGTTATGGAGAACAGTAAAAGTCTGGTAGTATAGTAAGAGATTTTGTATCCAATTTCAGAAAGAATTTCTTAATAGCTGGTAGAGATAAACAACAGAAAGGGCTACTAGGTGTGAGGGACCAAGCCTCTTTTCTAAACCAGTCAAGCCAAAGCTGTGTGAGAACTTCTCAGACATGGGAAGGTGGATGATGTATTTCTGAATGAGCACATGGGACAGAACTAGAAGATGAGTATACATTTACCATATAAGAGTACAACCACAGAAGAACTGCTGAGGCAGACAGAAGCCTATGAATGCTTTAGCCCCTTAGTATTCTCCTTCATATCAGTAGGTAGGGACTCTCATAAGTCCTTCAGAAAGATTCTTTTGTTTCATGTTCGTATATTTGTCTATTTGGAACGTCCTGTTTTAATTCAAATTCTACATATTTTCCAAGATGAAGCATTATCTTTTTAAAATTTTGTTATTAATTACACTTTATTCACTTTGTATCCCCCCTGGAGCTCCCTCCCTCCTCCCTTTCCAATCCTTCCCTACCTCCCCCTTCTCCACACATGCCCCTCCACAAGTCCACTGGTAGAGGAGGTCTTGTTTTCCTTTCTTCTGATCCTAGTCTATTAGGTCTCATCAAGAGTAGCTGCATTGTCTTCCTCTGTGGCCTGGTAAGGCTGCTCACCCCTCAGGGGGAGGTGATCAAAGAGCCAGCCCATGAGTTCATGTCAGAGACAGTCCCTGTTCCCATTACTATGGAACCCACTTGGACACTGAACTGTCATTGGCTACATCTGTGCAAGGGTTCTAGGTTATCTCCATGCATGGTCCTTGGTTGGAGTATCAGTCTCAGGGAAGACCCCTGTGCTCAGATTTTTTTGGTTCTGTTGCTCTCCTTGTGGAGTGTCTGTCCTCTCCAGATCTTACTAAATCCCACTTCTTTCATAAGATTCCCTGTACTCTGCTCAAAGGTTGGCCATATGTCTCAGCATCTGCTTTGATAGTCTGCAGGGCAGAGCCTTTCAGAGGTCCTCTGTTGCAGGCTCCTAACTTGTTCCCTCTTTTCTCCTTCTTCTGATATCCATCCTCTTTGCCTTTCTGGATGGTGATTGAACATTTTAGCCAGAGTCCTCCCTCTTGATTAGTTTCTTTAGGTATATAGATTTTATCCTATATTATATGTCTATATGAGTGAGTATATACTGTGTGTGTGTTTCTGCTTCTGAGATAGCTCACTCAGACATAAAATACCTTGGTGTGACCCTAACCAAGGAAGCCAAAGACTTGTATGAAAAAAATTTCAAGTCTCTGAAGAAAGAATTAGAAGAAGATATCAGAAGATGGAAAGATCTCCCATGCTCATGGCTTGGCAGGATTAACATAGTAAAAATGGCCATCTTACCAAAAGCAATCTACAGATTCAATGTAATTCCCATCAAATTACCAACACAATTCTTTACAGACCTTGAAAGAAAAATTCTCAACTTCATATGGAATAACAAGAAACCCAGAATTGCTAAAACAATCCTCTACAGTAAAAGAAATTCTGGAGGTATCTCCATCCCTGATCACAAGCTATACTATAGAGCAACAGTAATAAAAACTGCATGGTACTGACATAGAAATAGAATGGTGGATCAATGGAACCGAATAGAAGACCCAGATAGGGTGGAGATGAGGGAGGGAGGGTGGGATTGGGAGGGAATGAGGGAGTGGGATGCAGCTGGGATACAGAGTTAATAAAATGTAACTGATAAGAAAAAATAAAAAAAAAGAAGACCCAGATATAAACCCACATACTTACAGACACCTGATTTTTTACAAAGATGCCAAAACCATACAATGGAAAAAAGACAGCATCTTCAACAAATGGTGCTGGTCTAACTGGAAGTATACATGTAGAAAAAATGCAAATAGATCCATACTTATCACCCTGCACAAAACTAAAGTCCACGTGGATCAAAGACCTCAATATAAAACCAGACACACTAAACCTGTTAGAAGAAAAAGTGGGGAATGGCCTGGAACTCATTGGCACAGGAGACAACTTCCTGAACAGAACACCAACTGCACAGGCTCTAAGATCAACAATCAATAAATGGGACCGCATGAAACTGAAAAGCTCCTGTGAAGCATTATCTTTTCAATGAGGCCTCCAGATTCCCTTCACATTTACTTCCAGTCATATAGAGGCCAGGGTTTACATGAATTTGCAACTTGAGAACAAAGATTGTGTCCTGTTCTTGGTATCTTGCATTTTCTCCTGTTCTTCTGTAGACGATTAGTACTCTGTGGAATGATGGTTTAATCAGGACACTTCTTCTCCACATTCCTGTCTTTCTCTGCTGTAAGCTCTTTTGACTACTGTAGTCCACAATAATGAAAACATGAAGTTAAGATCCCAGATTAGGGACAGATCAAGGATAGACAATAGGCTTCACTCCACCTCTTGCCAGTTGCTGCCTGCCTGTTTCTTAACAAGAGGCCCTGCTACTCCATCAAAGGGGTACCCTTTCCCAGGAATAAGTACTGTTCCTATCATGACCTTAGTTCACACAAGCTCTGCTTTGCCTGTTACAATCCAGATGCAGATGTATATGTTAAAACCCTTAAGACAAATGCAAGTTGTTTGTGTGTGTGGTGAAGCCAGTTTTCAGATTTTAATACTTCCTTTCTTCCTTTCTACTTTTGTCATATGCTCCATGCTTGAAAAACATCTTTTAGAAACCACATTTTCACATCTTAAGAACACAGAAAAAAAGTGTTAGATACTTTTTTCCCTTTGCAGTCTTAGAACTTCAAAAACAGCCAAAGGAAGTTTTATAAAATACGTAAAAATATGTGCTGAGAGCTGAGGTTTTATATGCCAAGAGTCAGACTGCAGTGAATTTTTACTGCAGTTAATATTAACTCTTAGGAAAAGAAAAGCTTGCTGGAGTGCACGCTCAGTCTGTCACAGGAGAGTACCGCAACACATTCATACACATTACTCTTACATGCACATGCATGAAGCAACTCTTGGTTATTCAAGGGTCTCTACTACCCTCTGCTTCTTTTCCTTCTCAGGAAAGGCCTTCGGCTATTTCACAGCCCATTAGCACCTCTTCCAGAAGGCAGGTGGTGACAGGGGGAAAAGGTGGAACTAAAATCAGCAAAGTTTACTGCTCGTCAGCAACTCTCATAAAGATGAGGGACAAAGGGTTTGAAGCCACCATCAGCATCATCATCAGTAAGTATTCATGTACATGGTGTCAGAAGGTAATGCACATAATGACTGCTAAATTTTCTATAATACTTCTTTACAGTTGAGATTCATGTCAATTATAGAAAAAGATTCAAGAGATGTCTGGGTCATGACTACAAGGAAACCCACCTGTTTTTGCACCCCACTGAGTGGCCGGACCTTGATGATGAGTGAAGCAGTCCGACCCTTGTACTGAATTGTTCTAATAAATGTACCGGCATGATCCACACTGAAGGGCTCTGACCAGCGCCAGTTGCCCCAGCCTTCAATACAGATGTGTAACATCTGGAAAGAAAAACAATAATCGTCATAATGCCAAACATGCCAACAAAAATCTAGTCCTAAAATGAAAGTCTCATAGCTGGAAACCCTCTTTATTTGTAATCTCTAGCATGTGTTTTCTTTCTAACCTGCACTATTCATCTGCTTCCAGCTTATTTCACCAAGCTAAGAATAGCAAATATGCCACAGAGTTAATGTTGTTTTCCAGATCACATTTTAAAATAATGGTTCTATCAAATGGCAAAAGGTCCGTTGAACATTTGAGGAGGAAAAAGGCCATTTCATTCATTTGGAGAACAAGAGGTTAAACGTGAGATCAAAAGACACTGGTATTGGCTGGCAGCAAATTCAGCTAAGGCTGGCTCGTAGCACTATTTCTGACCCTAAATTATCAGTCCTTTTTTTTTTTTTTCATTTGATAAAACATAAAAGAGAAGATGTAGTTCAGTTAATATACCTTTTATGACATTACAGTATTAAATCAGAAATACCTTCAGCATTTTGATATGAGATAAATGTCCTTGGCCTTTTTACTTTTTGCATTCTATACTTACTATATAATTTACCAACAGAATCTCTGGGTGCATAGTTTCACTTACTTGTACAGTATTGAGACTATTGGAATTTCTTTTGCAGGTTATTCAAATATTTACCATTTTGGCTATTAATCACTAAGTTAACCTACAAAAATCAGTTTAACTACAAGTATATGAGACATGTAACAATTATAACTTATAAAAATAATTATAAAACATATAAGCAGTGTTTGATATGCTTAGTAAGTATAAGGAAACTGATATTTTAAGAGTTTATATGATACTAAATGCAACATTTTTCATTCCATTATTTAGCAGTCAACTTAAGGTGAAACTCATGAGACACTCCCAACTATAGACTGAGTGAAACTAAAGCATCCAAAGAATTATAGATCACAAAGGTACACAAAGTATTATCATCAAAATGAAAGTCTTGAGGGAAGTATATTATTTTTTTTTTGAATTTCAGCCTTATGAAGTGCCCTGAAAACATGCTTTAGTTTGAAATTTTCCCAAGGTCACTAGTTCTTATAAGATGTATTTGATGGATGACTACAGAAGCATTTTTTTTTTTTAAAAAGACCTATATCAGTCTTTTCTAAATTTCCCCAATGTCCTCCTGGTTTTACTATGGACTTTCTTCAGTTCTTCATCCACACCATGGCTGATGAGACCAAGAAATAAGAAGGCCACTGATGGGATGACTTCTAAAAAGACTAATGGCTAAGACACAAAATGCAAAAATCCAAGGCAGCAAGTAGCCTTAGGAAAAACATGGTCTCACCTATATATTCTCTACTACTATATAAAAGTACCCAGAGTATCTTTGGTATGTAAATATTAGTTACAAGAGAGAGAAGGGGAGGGAGGAGAGAAAGAGAGAGAGAGAGAGAGAGAGAGAGAGAGAGAGAATAGCAGTGTTTGGAACATTTAAAGTTCAGGGCCACACAAAGCTTAAAGGAAACAAGAAAGTTGTTTCCTTTGAAAAGATTGGTAGCTGAAAATGACAACAAACGAACAAACAAAAAACGAATGTTACTTGAGGTCAGATGCAGCTAGATTTCCTGAACATGCCATAGATTCATAGAGTAATGTATACATGTGATTTTAATTGAGGATGTACATATTTGCATAAGAACTCAGTTTAATTAAGGCTGATCCCTCCTGCACACAATTTTCATAGATTCTATACTACCAAGGAATAGGTTTTCCTTGGTAGTTATTTGTTTTCAAAATGTTGGCATAAATATTTTCTTTTAGTTATTAAAATTCAGATACATCACCTTCTCCTGATGGGGGGGGGGGGGGCAGCCTTACCAGGCCGCAGAGGAAGACAATGCAGACAGTCCTGATGAGACATGATAGGGTCTCATGGCTGATAGGGTAAGATGGAAGGGGAGGAGGACCTCCCTATCAGTAGACTGGGGGAGGGACATGGGAGGAGAAGAGGGAGAGAGGGTGGGATTGGGAGAGGACGAGGGAGGGGGCTACAGCTGGGATACAAAGTGAATAAATTGTAATAAATAAAAAAATTAAAAAAATTCAGATACATTTAGTTCAGTTCACAAAGAAAAGTTAAGTGGGAAGTAAATGTAGCATATCTCTCCACATGCACCGATTGAGTATTTGCAATGTTTTGGGCACACTGTTAAGAAATAGCTATCACTGGCAATTGCATGTATATAATTTATGAGAAAAATCCATGAGAAGGAACTCAATGGCCAGGAGCATGTCAGTTCACCTATGTACAGTGGAGTCACAAGGCTTGGGAAGCTTTGGCACTAGTTGGCCACAGATGACAGGGATCAGATGTACCACAGACTAGGGTGGGAGGCATCTTCTTGTATACAGTGGCTAAAGTTTCCTCTTAAGAATTAATATTCCTATCTGGATTTTAATTTCTAGATAGGAATAGAAAATCTGGCACAAAATACGAAATTTACCTTATACGACTTAATGTCAATGAGATGTTTTCTGTCATCCACCTAGCTCATCTTTATTATGTGGGCCTCAAGGTAGGTAAAACTGAGGCACTGTGGAAGAGTGCCTGAGGTAGAGGTATGTTATTTGAGCCACCAAGAGTAAACTATCCTCCAGGGAGAATACTCAAGAGCATATGAACCACATGGCAGTGGGGGATGAGCAGGGCACTATGGCAGGCCAGACAAGGGAGGGCCTGCTTCAGGCTTCCATGATTAAGACAGCTTCATAAACAGCTGAGGCTCAGTTTGGGTAGAACTTCTATTGTCAAAGATCATAGCTCTTTTCATGGCAAAAGGACAAAGTGAGATTTGAAAAGCAGCAGCCATAAACTAATAATGTCAGCTGGCTGAAGGAAGGTGGGAGGCAGACAGGTAGCCTAGGTGGTAGCTGGTGTAGCTGGCGCTGGTTTATGAAGCTAAGGAGTTCATAATCTCTTCAGGAATAGTCAAGGGACCTTCCCCACACTAAGCGTGGTGTTAACAGGAGAGTAAGTGGTGTATGCAGGCTCCCAAACTGCACATCAGGAGGAGAAACAACGTAGCAAGAGCCTTATCCCTTTTACGTGGAGCCCAAGGCTTTTTTCTGTTTCTTTATCAACTTGGGGTTTCTTCTTTTGCCTCCTGTCTTTGAAGAGTTCCCCCTACTGACTCACTTCCTCCAGCACCTTCCAATTAATCCAGACATTTCATTCTTTTCTGGACTATTTAGCTAGTGTTTTTTCCATTGAGTGGAAAAGTTAACGAGGAGTCACTCCTGGAACTTTAACATGATAGCTTAAAGGCAAGGGATTGTGGCCACAACTGCTGGGTGATCCCAAGGGACTCTGCTTTCTTTATTCAGCAGACCCTGGGGCTGTGCTGCCAGCCAGACTAAATGTGTAATTTTACTACTGAAGACTTCACATGGAAGGATATACAGCTTTCAGCTCATTTTTTTTCTATATGAAATAAAGCAGAATTAATGATTGGGGTGTTAGAGGTTGGCCATGAGGACCACCCACAGACATGTCTAAAGAAAGAATTCCAGAATTGATATATTCAGGAAGAAAGAAAACTAAGATGAAATCTAGGAAAACAGAGTGCGCTAAGAAAAGGGAAAGGATAAACACGTGAATGTTGTAACTACATTTAAAATCCACACAACAAAGGTGCCAAGTATTTTTCTGTGAACTGATACATGTTATTTGCTTAAAAACTCTTGTTCTTTATACCTTAAAAAAATAAATGCGGTTTGCTCTTGCGTTTTTCAATTTACCCTATGTTATGTATAATGTTCTAAAGATAAACTAAGAGTTCAAACAACTCCAAAGTTTTTCCTAATTCATTGTACTCATAGAAATTTTTAAAAATGGCAAAACATTAATACGTAATTCAAGTGAAATAGGCAACTGGATATATACTGATATGTATTAAACCTATAACTTTTGTATATATTAACATATTAAAACTTATATACCACATACTTAAAATTTTAAACTCATTAGTATAAGATTTTATTTCACAGAGAACATTTAATAAGTTTATTGAATAAATGAATCAAGATTAGTGAAATTAAACAAAATTAGATTCTCACAAATTTTAGTAGAGACTTTTACAAATAAAACAAGAATTAAAATAAATCATAGTATTAAAAAATACTTTCCCCCTTTTGAATGTTTTCAAAATAGAAGCTATATCTTATATGGATAATGACGTTAAACTACAAGTCACTGTACTCTCTAAGAGCCAAAATTCAGACACTGAGATGCTGACAGTAAAACATCAAACAGGATAGGATCTGGTGGAGGAAAAAACTATGACCAAAAGGTAAAGTAAACAAAAAGGTGAGCATCATGAATGGAAATTACGGTATTCTTACAAAGTCTTACTTATACAAAATATCTGGAAAGCAAAGTTCATCTATCCATTTGTAATGTCTGGTTTAAGTGGAACATGCATGTGTAATGCTGGGAAATTATTACAACAATGAGAGGAAATATGTCATGCACTGTGACTTTTCAAGTTAGCTGAAATCACGGGAAATCATGGGAAAAGCCATGCAGAAATAATTCTACATAATGGCTTGATATCATCATGACTAAACACTGAAAATTTCTGGACCCTATGCAGCCTTTAACATTTGTAGAATGCAGTTTTTCATAAAAAGAATGATTAGGTAGAAATAAAGTTGAATTGGTTTTTAGTTCAGAACTTAGACTCTTTCATGCAGTTTATTTTGGTAGAAACAAGAAAGAGGGAGAGGGCTAATTTATGAAAGCCTTTCTAAAGCAGCTTTTTAAGAGTGACCACTGCCATAGCACCTGGGCTGCTGCATACGTAATTTTTCACAGTGTGAAGTGCTTGTAAATTTTCCCTTATAACTGTCTGAATCTATCAAAGGTTACAAATGCTGTAAAATTAGTATGAAACAACTTTAAAAAGAGGGAAACCTGACATCTCTCAAAGGTTGGTTGGGATGGAAATTTTAGCTATTCCTTGCATGAAA